ACACTTCTATCGGGCCGTTTCTTCTTCAAAAATGTCTACAGAATCCGATCCTGGGTAGAGTTTTCGTGCTGAACAAAGAACTTTTCGTAAAAGTACAAAAATATTGCGGAGAAACTGCGCACGTCGACACTTTTTTAAACTTTGACATTAATTTATAGTTATTTAGGACCAAAAACAATTAATAAATTGTATGCCACTATATTCGAAAAACTTTCCTCTATCTTTTGAGACCGATTAGAACTTTCTAACGTTTGTACATTTCATGCAATACCTCATTTTTGTCGAAAATTTTAGGTTTTCACAAAAGTTTGTTTTTTTCAAAAACTGAGGGTGATGGGGCAATTCGATTTTCGGATTCTTCTGCGGGGAGTGAAGCTCTACAAGAATTTCATAGTGGCTATAGGAAATCAGAAAAAGAGTTTGATTTTGTCGGACAGTGTTGTTTATTAAAGCGCTTGAAAATCGTGGCAGCAGTCACATGTCACACCCTGTATATAATTGTAGGGGCATGTATGCGGGCAATTGTATGTGGACTTATCACTTGTAAATAATTCTATTAGAGATTGAATGTGACCGAGGACAAAATGATTTTAAAAATATCGCTCGTTCGGAGCTAGGAAATATGGTTCGGAGGACATCTTTTATAGCATTCGACTTTTCAATGGTTCTCACAAAGTTTCCTAACGAAATTTCGAATTAAACGTTTTTTTAAATAGTTCTAACCAACTTTCCTAATGGAAATTTCCCTAATCTTTAAATAATTGGATTGTCTCTCTGTTTTCTTCCTTATTATCACTGCGACTTGAAAATAGTAATTGAGGGACTGAAAGTATATTTTTAGGGCACATAAATGTTCAGGAAGCTGAGTATATTTATTGTTGTAAATATACGAGACAGATGATTCTCGCCGATTTTTCCATAAGGTACAATGCAGAATTCGGCACGAATCATCTGCTCTTTATACATAAAAATAGCGCCATTGCGCGGAGTGGCGAAACGCTCAAACTGTTAGCCAAAATTTTGTCTTCCAGTTTCAACCTTTTACCGCTAGATGTTACCACGTGTTAGTTCTCTATTCCATCGGCAATTTTAAATCGATTCGATTAAATCGAGTTATTAAATTAATGAAGATTTTGCCACCTTATAAATGTTAATTTAACTTTTTATCGTTACACAACGTAGAATCACATTTTATGGAAACGGTTTATAATAATAAACATCACTACCTAAAACAGGGATAATTTATTCATTAATTTAGCAATTTCACGTCGATATATTTAAATAAGAAATATTAAAAACCAAATTAAATTATAAACGTGAGTTTAAATGCCAAGATCAATTAGTTCATTTACACCTCCACACTTGTTCGGTTACCTCGACGTTATATTTTTTAAAAGAGCAGTAAGTATTGCAAGAACAAATTGAAGTTTTAACTGTTAATTTTTCGAAAAAATAGAAGTATGTCAAGAACAAGGTTCCATAATGAAATTCGTTAATATGTGACAGTAAATAATTGAATTAATGTACAAGGTGGCAAGAACAGTACCTAATCAATATAATCAATATATAAAACAATCGATATAAAAATTAATATAAAACTAACTATTGTACATAAAGTAGAAAATTTCATTATCTGCCACGAATTTATAATGGTGGCCCCATCTGTGTAAAAATGCCGAACCCTCGGAACAATCATCTCTAGATAATTTGGCCTGCCACTAAGTGTAATAGCGCTATTTTTATATAATCAGGGGATGACTCTTGCTTTATTCTACATTTTATCTTGTGACAAATACTGTTATATTCGTCTGTTCTCTACATTTGCAATAAATAAACTTTTTTTGCATATTGCAGATGCAAAAGAGTCTCCGGAACATTTCTCGTGTGCTCGCAATATTTTTCAGCCCCGTTAAATTTCTCTGGTAAAAGAGACTCAAATAGAAAAAAACATATGTATTTGTTTCACCTCTGTGAACTTCGAATGTATTCGCTTTCAAAGAATAATATTTATAGAACTGATTTGATTCAATAGATTGTAGAATATCTTCAGCCTTGATACAAATATACCGTGTTTCAAGTGTAACCTTCTGCTGTAGACCAATAAATAATTCTGTTGTGCGTACATAGATCGAAGAGATAACATTATCAACCACTCTATATGAATCACCATGTAAAAACACTATAATCTCAAGAAAGTGAGGAAGATAATATAATGTAAATATTTTTACGCGTTTCTGAAGCCCAAACAACTACGAGATTAACTTGTAATTATTGAAGAAATAATTTGAAGAGCGCGTAATAAATCAGTGAAATAATAGATCTCCCTGGTTTTTAATGAAACTCGAAATGCATCTAATAGCGCGACTCAGCCTGGATGAAAAGCGAATAGAGATATGGAATTAAAACAGTAGTTATATTAACACTTACCTTGTATTATAACCTTCCGTATTATTAATACTCGGTGGCTGGATCGATATTCCACTGCTGCTGTTGCTATAAGCACCGGCTACATTTTCAGCGTTATTCATTCCCGAAACGATGGAACTCCAATCGTTGACATTGTTATCATTCGAAAGGGTGTTTCGCGAGTTTCTACGTGCAGACTCCTGACTGGCCTCACGTCTCGGCGGTGTGTCACTGCCGGAAGATTCGGACGACTCGGTTCGCATTATTCTATTCGACAATTTATTCTTCATGTCCGATGTTGAAATGTTACCAAGTATGGACACTCCACCCACAGGCTGCTGAAACGATTAATGCCTCTTAAATGTTCTTACCGGAGCAAAGCTCTTCGGCAAATGAAAACGGATTCGAATTTTACTTTTTTATTTTGCACTGGATTTTTCGACGAGCCGAACAGATCGTCCTCATCGTCGTCCATAAATATATTATTATCGTTCACGTTAGTTTCCGGAGTGCTTGTTGCCATAACCGGCGGTGTTATGATGTCCAAGTATTTCTTTTTAGCAGCTTCCGCGTTAGCATTATTGTTATTTGATTGTTTGGGCTTCGCGATAGTCTTGTTCGTGTTTTTCGAGGAGAAAATATCGTCGGAGTCTTCGGAGTCTACGTCGCCGAAAAGATCGTCGATCGCGGACTTCGGTTTTGTCGCTGAAAGATCATTTTCATGAGATCCCGTCGTGGAGATTCATTGTTCCGCATTGGGGAGAACTTGAAAATGGAAAAGAGCTTACAAACTGTGCTAATGGGAGGTGGTACGTCGATGCTGGCTGGTATAATATTATTTTCGTATGGCTTGATAATAGGTTTTTCTTTCCACGAATTTTCGGAAGCTTGATCATTCAGTATCGTGCTACCGGTAAATATATTCTTCGATTTTTCGCTGAAGGCATTCTCATCCCCATCCGGTGTAAATAAGTCATCTGAAACGTATGGCAACGGTCAACATATGTCGATGAAAATGGGATCGAGTTTATTACAGTACCTTTATAACGATTTATCGATGCTTCGTTCTTATCGTCTACAATTACTGGTTTCTCAGCTTGCCGAACTGTACCTAATCGCTTGGCTAATTCTTCTGCGAAGTTCGGTGTTAAATTGTTTGATATTGGTACCTAAACGACACACGAAGATTTTGAGATATTATTACGCATAAAATAAGGAGAACTATATAAACAGTATACTGGAGCACAAACAAACCTTTGGTGTGTTATCATTAGGTGTAATTGATTCGGAAGCAGAATATACATTATTTTGGCTAACTACATCGAGTTTATCGACGTCCATATATGTTATATCAGTCCTTTTACCATAATCTGGTCCAATCAATATGTCTGATTTTGGTTCATTGTGAATGTTATAGCCCCTAAGCGTTGCGGTATCATTACCACTTTCTGATTCTTCTTCTTCTTCTTCGTCTACTTGTTCCGATTCGCTACTGCTGCTACTTTCTAAGCCGATTTTGCTTGAATCTGTCCACTGCTTAGAACCAATAACATAAGGTAATGGCCGATCTTGATACGGATCGTTCGGCCCCAATACAACGCTGCAATTTAATTATACAGTTATACAAAGTAACTTCAAGAGAAAGCTTTACTCAATAAAGTTGTTCACCTCAATACTACTCCATCACTTTCTTCTTCGCTATCGCTATCAAGAAATTCCATTTTCTTATACTTTAAATCCATTATGTTTAGACCCTCCCTTATGCTTTCACTTACACTGGCTATTAAATCTGCAGTTGCAACATCATTATTCTTGGACTCCTATAAATTAATCGCAATTTCAATATATCATCAACTCGAAAGGTTAAAATGTTCTATAATGATGAATCACCTGAACCAATGTTTCCTTTTTCTCAATCTCTATATCATCTTCCTGCACACGACTCTCAATGAATTGGGTGTTAGCCAAAGCGAGGGATGTATTAGTGACATTATCTATAAGTATTGCTGCTTCATTCAGTTGAGTAGTCAATGAATTCAGTGCTTCATCAGTTTTATTTGCCCTTGATACTAGATTCTTTAAAAAGTAACACCAACATTACACCAACAAGTATACCGCAACATGTACAGCTGTCTGTAGACAAAATAAATGTTACAGAGTCGAACGGTACCTCAGAAAACTGCTGGAGGTGCTTAAGAAGCCCAACATCGCCAGCCAAACTCCATTCTCTTCTTTTCTTTCTCATTTCCTCTGTGGTCCATGGATGATTCCATGATTTGTCCATTTCATCTGATATGTCCTACAATATGAAAGTTTATATAAATATTTTCAAGTATAGCTAGCATAACTCTACAATATGCTTGAATAATTGATTACAACACAGGGCTCCATCACTGTTTCTCTATACGAAACGGGTAATTAATAGCTGTTATTATTTGTTTATATTTATTAACCTGGAAATTAATTTCGGAGCAGTAATTATTAAATCTAGTAAATATTTGGGCAACATACCATACCACCCAGTCAAATTCAAGGTAACGAGCTGTTATTTTCCCTCGTAATTACATTTACATGTATTTGGTATTTTTTTGTCAAACTGAACAATACAAAAAAACACCCACTCCGCAAACGGATTTATCGGACACGGTAATCGGTGCTGTGACATCTACCGTATAATTTAATTCAAACCTTTCAAAAGGAAAGTCTCAGGAATGTGCGAGTCTTTAACTAGAGTCCTCTATTTCACGAGGAACAGTTGTCAAAGCGTTAATAAATAGAAATACAACAAAAAAATCTTTATATATAATATAAATTGTTAATAGAAAAGGTTTTCGTGAGACGAAACGAACACTATTTACGTGAACAATCTCTTGATATAAACCATTTATTACAAATATTCGATAAAATGAATTTTACAATCGTTTCACTGTTACAGAGGTACAACAATAAATTTCTCCCCTTATTATTGCTTCATCTGAACAATTTACTCAAATATTTAGAGTATTCTAAAGCATTTAAACTATCATTGAATATGTATGTATACATATATAGTGTGTGTATGCTCTTCGTAACATTGCGTTTTGCGACTTCCCTAGTGTCGCGTTTTGAATCCCCGTCACTCAATCGCACATTCCAATACCAAAGGTGTGTAGAGAAATTGATGACGTTCAAGTTTCACTTAACGAAACTCGTCGAAAAACATATGATGCGCATCGAGTTTTAAAAGGAAGTCGAGAACATTTTCCTCTCGGAGGAGAATTCAACCTGAAAAAAACGAATGCTGGCTGCAAAATAAGATTTCCTTCTCCGACGAAACAATCCTCATGAAATTTTGTGCTCCCTTTTCCAATTCAATTGCATATCGAATTGAATTGATATTTACTCTTCCTACTGCTTATTATAAATTCTACAGATTGTAGCAAGTTAACAGTTTCTTCGGCATCTGCAAGGCAATTTTCATAATTTTTCCAAGCCATATAATATCGTCCACATATGTAACCAACATTAAACACCTAGATTTTTAATAGGTAAACGACTTGTTTTAATAGTTTTGTAAATATACATGGGCTTAAAAAGTACCACGATGTGTTTACCAGCATTCTGGTATTCCTGGACTCCTTTGTAATTTGTTTTCATTTGATACGAGTAGGTAATGGATACGATACTTATCTTTTGAATGATAACGAAAGGTTTAAACTGCGAGAACAGCTCCATCGCTCACCCAATCAAAACCAAGAGAAACTTTTCCACCATTCTCTATAATGTCTCATCTGTTACAATCGAATCGTAAGACGCTACGAAGGGAATATCGGGCACACTTAAGTAGTAAGGGACCTTTCCACTAGAGGATACATCATTAGCGTATGCAATGTTGCCAAAGCGAACAGTATTTTGGTCCACATTCAACATTCCACTGTTCGACCGATAGAGGAACAGCGCCGTGGATTGTTTGTCAATATCTTCGAGTTAGCTGATTTTTTACTGACTTTTCTGTTCAAAGCAACCGTTTCACGATGACACGAAAGTCCGAGAAAATATCCTGACTGTGACTGTGTCGGAGTGTGCACCGTGTACGTATACGAAAGTCCGGAGATAATACTGTCAAGAAGAGAACGTCGTGTACGTGCAATAATGCTACTTTTATATGCAAGTCAGGAATTCCATCTGTTTCATTAAGAAAAAGAATGTTTGAAACCCTTGCATTACCAGGAACGTCCAATTATATTACTGAATTATGCTTGTTTAAGTTGCACGTTATCATGGATATTTAATAAGAGAAGCAAGTTTTTTGCCGTGTTGGGAAAGTTGCAAATTTATAGTGCACAGGAAAAAAAAGACGGATAACCCTCGATGAAAAGAAAAGTTCCATAAACTGGCGCTTTCAATCGGTAAGTCCGCGAATAAACAATGTTTAATCATCGCCTCATCGAGAATCAATTCTATTTAAGGATTTCTTCAAATAAATCAATCTATGATTTTTTTAAAAATAATACGTTGCACACGATTGCGTTCACGCAGACGCGTGTACGTTAAGTAACAATTAAAGAATGATAAATCCAAAAATAAAATCATAAATATTGATTGATAGACTAACTGGTTGTTGTTTTGTTTCAGGTACTATTTGAAAAAAATGTACATCAGAATGATACACAGAACGGATCTAGATAGTTCGTATAGTAAAGATGAACACGTTCGACAGCTATTTATCTTGTTTAGTTGATGCACAGACCATTGTCTTAGGCAATTCTGAATTAACTTTATTGCATATCTTTATTCTTGCTCTTCCGGAGCAATCTTATTGTCGTAAAGTACCCAGTGTTCATAAAATCATTTTTAATGAGGCTGAAGGCACGTACAGGAAGGCGAACTCTCTTTTGAGAAGGTACAGTGTTCTACAACTGACTTTCATGAACAATGAACCATTCGGGAAGTGGAAAACGTCAGGCGAAGGTTCTGGAAGAAAACTATTGGGATTGCAGTGTCTGCACATATAGAAATACAGCAGAAGCATTTAAGTGCCTCATGTGTGACGTCCGTAAAGGAACTTCTACGCGGAAACCCCGCATAAATCCTCAGCTTGTGGCACAGCAGGTCGATTATTTATGCATTATTCAGTGTACCGCCTTTCTTGACTCTTTAAAATAACACGATCGTTTTATGTTACAGGTGGCACAGCAACAGTATGTACCACTATTGAAGCCAGGGAAAAAGGAAGGTAGTAGCGGCGGTAGTACGGCTACTAGTGGTAAGGAGAAAGACCGTAAATTGGACAAACCAAGACGGAAAAATAGGCATCCACCTCGTCTTAAAAATATAGACCGCAGTACAGCTCAAACCAATGAAGTGACAGTAAACAACGTTACTGTCGTAATTACGGAGTATAAGCCAAAAGTGAAGAAAAGTTCCGATCAGTCTGGTTTATCTAGCAGTGCATCATCTGAGAATGGAAGTCAACACGATTCTAATCAAGACTCTAGAAGTTTGGATATAGGAACTGATGCTTAGCTCAACGCGGTATATCACATATGTGTATGAATTAATCTAATTAATATATTATATAATGTACGTCAATCTCTATGGACTATGGTACATTTTGTGGACAGAAGCAACTACTTTTTCTATGTGTTGCAGATTATATAACATTCAATGAGGTCAGACGTTTTATGCTATCAGTGGACTCATTGAATTCTTTGATTTCAATGTAATATAAGACTTGTGGTCATGTATCGTTGTTTTGTAGGAACATCAAAATTACCAGTTCATAATGACAATGATGTAGTTCATATTCAGACGCATCAACTGAAGTTGTACTTAATGTTATTTATTCCATAGCTTGAGAGTATTCTAAATTACGCGTTCTAATATTTAATTCAATATTTTAGATAATTTTATTTGTGCAACTTCGGATATTACTTACTCTATTTACATAGTATCGACTGTAACAAGCGCAGTTACGTGCATTAATACTACAAAATGGAATTTTATATATCCATTGTTGACATAATGATGTCCGCATACGACTTTCATTGAATCTATAACACCACTGCCAGAAAGCATGTTGTAAGATTATCGTTAATTAGAATGTTTTAATCGACTCATTTATGTGTGAGTTATTTAATTTGTTTATTTAATAATTACTGTGACAGTGAATTCAGAAACTGGCATTGGTACGTATATATACCTTTATCCCATTCCAAAATTATCTATGTACGAATTTCATTTATTGTATGCTTTATAGCTCGGTAACAAATCAATACCAATCATATAGAAGTTTCCAATTTATACACGTGGAAGATTTTGCAATTGAAATACATAAAGTAATACAAAGTGATACACAATTTTATAAATTTTAGAGGATATTTGATTTTCTAATAAGCGCGTCCATTAATTTTGATTGTTCATATATTATTTATTGTATTAAAACACCTCGGAAAAAATATTTACACTACATAGTATACTTAAATGATGTCAGAGCATATAGATTTTATATACGAACTGTAAACAATACTGGAACAATCTATTAAACATTAATTTCTATAATTAGTAATATCGCTAAATCATGAAGCAATGCAGTGGGAAACTTTCTTTTTATTATTGGTATTATTATAAAATAACCATTAATGCTACAGAGCTGGCACATATTAGCAACTGCCTGATCACTTTAAACTGTGATTTATAATTCATTTCATATTTATTTTTAAATGTTTTACGTTACCAGGTAATCAATATATTACCAAAATCGAATCACAAAGTAAAAAGTTATTGACTGTAAGGACCAGAGCATAACGGGATTATTTCATAAGTGTATAAAATTAAAAAATGTCATATAAATAATTATTTTCAAATGTTAGTATGCCAGTTACAATAAAATACGAAAATTAATTTGTGAATAAAATTAACGATCTGCATCGTAACTCCGAAAGTAAACAATACTTTTTGCAAATATTTACACATAAGTACAACATTACTCGGATAACAAGTTTCCATCTCGTAAATAGTATTTCATAAATATCATCGGGATTATAATTATATAAACCTTTTATAAAAAAAAATGTCCGATTTATACTAAAAAGATATCGATTTTTATTAACATTTTATTAGTTCTCTTTTTTCTTAATTATGTAAATTCTCTTCTTAGATAAATAATTTGCGTGTACATACTAGTTTTACGAAAAAAAAAATTGATCGATTAGGTAAAAGATTTCTTCAAATCCTATTAGAACATCACTCCGAAACAATATATAATCTTAAAATTGTTACTTTACTGTGTACAATTTGGGTATCCATATTTTACAATATAGTAGGTATTTAGTAAATGTTAAAAACATCAGTTTTTGAATAATTTTTTCGTATTCTTGCGGTAATCGAATTAATGCGAATCAAAAATATGTACCCATTGCCTTCATCGTATAAGAATATGTTAAACCAAATAAAATTGGATTTGTGTGTGTTGTAAATGATTAGGAAATTAATATGTTGTACAGATTGTAAAACTTTCGAAAAACACTGTTGGGATTAACATTATATTATTACAAGAAAAAAAAATAAATTAAATGTTTTAAGAAAAGAAATTATAGAAACTTTCTACGTCTCTCCGTTGTGATTTTTTTGAAAATTTTATTTGTATCAAGTACCATACAAAATATAACAGAACACTTAGTACCTCTTATGTACAGTCTTTGCTGAATTCAACATTAGTACAATTTGTCATTTAGATTTTAGAGATTTCTTAAATTTATTCTTCGTCTTCTTTTCAAACGTAGTATTAGAGCCACTGTCGTTACTAAGCATTATTGATCCTACATTATGTGTTATATCCATCATTTCATTGTGATTGTTACTTTTCGGTATCCTATCTTCAAATCTTTCGTACACTATTCAACAAAATATTATATTATGTTATATGAAATCGTGGAACGATTAAATGTGTAAGTATCAATCCATTTATATTATGAAACTCACCTTTCGCTATTTTAGCGAAGTCGAATATTCTAAGATTGTGCGACTTGTTATCGCCGCCAGCGGAGAAAGTAAGAGGATTATTTGGACTTGACGCGAGACATAATAAAGCACCGAGATTAGTTTTGTTCTCCCAAACACACGACGGCTCTTCGTGTTTAATTATATCCCACACTTTTATAACGCCATCGTTTGAGGAAGTAACAAGGAAACCAGGGCATGATGAGCTTAGAGACAGACCTGAAATCATGATATCATAAATACTCTAATTCCTACGTATTGCACTGTCTATATGTAATTGTTGCAAGCACCTGTAACTTCTTTGGTATGAGCCTCTATACTCCAAATTGGTTTATTTTGCCTGATATCGAAATACAGCATGTGACCATTATCTGTGCTTGTCTGCAATAAAAACATCAATATGTGAAAACTTTGTCATAGAAATAGAAATTATCAAATGCACTATACTAACTATACAGTAGTTTGGATCAAATTGATTCCATAATACTCTTTCTACTTCCCCCGATGTCTCCCAAGAGTTTATAACTGTTTGGTCTCTGCAGTCAAACAATCTAACCATTCTATAAGGATAAAATAAATCTTTAAAATACATTCGAATAGCATTTGATCTGAATATGTCAAGAACTTACTTATCTGCACAGCCTGTTAATAATTGATGCGTTTCTGTTGGGTGCCATTTTAACGATTGAATTTTTTCATCAAAAGAGGTAATTTTATTAACAGGTGTACCATTTTCTAAATCCCATAACAGAACAGTTTGGTCAACTGATCCACTAGCTAGCACATGCCTGTAAGAAAGATACCCACAACATTATAGTGTATCAATATTTATATTTAAGTACATAACTCCAAACTCTAGTAGATACTTGCGTGTAATTCTGATTCCAAGCCAAATCTAAAACCGCATCTTTATGTCCAATACGTTTTATGTTCTTTTTTTTGCTTGGTTTATGACCAAGTTTGTAAGCTGGTTCTAAACAGTCTACTAAATCTAAATCCCATACTTCAATAATGGGGCTCATACTACCAAGCGCACATAAATTACTTGGTTTTGAGTCTGCAGGATCAAAGTTGAGCCATTCTATACACAATGGAAACGATGGTAATAATATGTCATGATGACAATAAAAAGAATCTTCTGCTTCATTGTAAACTGGAAATAATTGAAAACTATGTAAAATGTGAAATTTCTTTGTAAAACGCAATTATAACTTGTGCAATTACCATATATTTCCAAGATACTTGCATCTCCATCAACGTGCCCTATCACCACAAGGTTGTCATTGATTTTTATACCATCATCTTCCTTCTCTGAATCGTCGTCATCGTCGTCCTTTGTTATTAAAGGATCTTTCCCATAATTATCAAATGTTGTGATATTACCAATAGAGCAATGTATGCTACCAGCTGAGTATCACAGAAGATAATCAAATGATTTGTCAAAAAATGTATATATGAATTGAGTAATATATGTATAAAGCTTTTCTCTTACATTCTTCATCATAGTTGTCGAAACCATATTCATCCTGTTGAATGATGTTAGACTGCATCTCAGTTTCATTTTCTTGCTTCGAAACTTCATTGTCTTCGTCCTCAACATCGGCACTTTGAGAATAAAATTGATTAAATATACATATATACATGTATCAAAAAGTTCTTAATAGAAATGCACAAATTACTTACTGTAACTCCGATTGTTTCTCCTCTAATATTTTCTTTAATTCTGTCGGCGTTAATTCAACCTGTAAGTGTTACAATCAAATGTGCAATATGTAGAACCAAATGGAAAAAAATCATTGAGCTGCGAAATTTTCTGCAATTCGTTTCAATATAATATGAAAATATAAATTTGATACATTCGGTAGATTTACATTAAAACGGACTGAAAATTTCGACTTTAAAAAACATTAACTTATTCCAAATTATTAACCTTCACAGGATTCTTAGCTGCGACTCCTTTCTTCACCCAAGTCATGCATGGTATAACATTCATTTTTATTCTATATGTCTAAAATAATGTTTAGGAAAACAATATTTATATTGCATTAAAGTTCTGTCTTTTTAAATTTAATTTCAACACACATGTGTCTACAAGTATTCTCACTGTAACTCTGAAAGTAGTATTATCATTATCATTATGATTACAGTATGTAATGCACGCTTATCTTACTCTCTAAGCTGGCGTGCACATTCCCACCATTTTACTACGCATCCAATCTGCAATTAATTCTGTCTCAGCAGTGAATCGTCAGCTAATCAGAGCAAAGAAAATTTCTATACCGACCCCTGCTAACGCTCCTCGTCATTACTGTATAAAGATAGTCACAGGTCACAGTGCATATATTTGCCTAGACGTGAAACTTCTGTCAAAAATGTCATGATGAGTAAAACTTGTATGTTACAACGTCTATGGAAAAGCCATGCATGATCAGCTGACAATGTGTCTGCTTATATGACTTCTCAAAATTCGATTAGTTAAGTGCCAAAAGTGAGTTGTACAATAATATTTACAAGTCTCATTTATACATCGCATTTACATCAAATAACTTAAAAACAAAAGTAAGTATCAAGAAACATATGGTTTTTCCAAGTCAATCATTATAAATGAAATTTTCAGGTGCACACTTCAACTATCCAGGTGGCAAAAATTTTCCATAGCATTCAAGCTAACTTAAAAAAGTGATTATCAGCTGGTCAATTTGTGTTACTAAATAGTAAATTTTATTATACAAGTTTGTACTTTTTATACAAGATTGGTGAGTAGCTTCACATATTCGCTGATATAAGAATGCTACGATTTTGCTGATAATAAAATTGTATCTTTTAGTATTGCGACAGTTGCGTTATTTCTAAATTTTTTCACCATTAAATATGGAATATACGTATAAATTTCAGCTGCAAAATGAATAGTTCATCAGATCCAAGACGCCCTGAACGGGAAGTCAGGTATAAACCTGCTGCAGCGAGCAGTCAGGCTCAGCCAAGCGACACATCAACACCAGACTACATGAATATATTAGGAATGATATTTAGCATGTGCGGCTTGATGATGAGACTAAAGTGGTGCGCATGGGTTGCATTATACTGTTCTTGCATTAGCTTTGCAAATTCTAAAGTGAGCGATGATACAAAACAAATTCTCAGCAGTTTTATGCTCTCCATATCAGCGGTTGTTATGTCATACTTACAAAATCCACAGCCTATGACACCACCATGGGCATCTGCGATTCAATAAAAATATTTAAAATCTCTATAATGTTTGTTGATTACTAATTGTTTAATATAATTTTTATTCGATTCTCAAAAGTTTTATCTGGTATAATTCAATGAACTGAAAATAAAAGAAATGGATTTAACAAGGTAATGGGAACAGAGTTGATTTCATCACTTTTATTTCTTAAAAAGTATTGTACTTTATTACATTAAATGAACCTTTCTTCTATAATTCACTTGCTCCTAAAGATATTCTACAGGTATAACTTACAATAAATTCAATAAATATTGTATAGAGTTAAATATTTTATCTACTTTTTACATAAATACAGTGACCTTGGATTTTCAATTATCAGAGATTGCTAGTAAAAATCATGCTTCTCCATTCAACCTTCCTTACAGGATCAGCTTTTTTCCAGTGGCTGCATATATTACATTCCATATATATTTTACTTACATGTACGCATACTCAGTCCCGTTTTTCCATTTTTCTCAAAAATCAGTAAAAAAGTAATTATTTAAACATGTGACTAAAGTAATCTATTGACATTAAGTACAAAGTTCGTGTTAAACAATACGAGAAAATTATATCTAGACAATTACAAATAATAGATTTAACAAACAGTTATATTTTGTGTTGTTTCTTGATTCTATATAAATTGCCTGTACAAAAATGTGTTCTCCCAAAGTTTTGTATTAAACAAACATCGGCGGTGTAGAATAGGCCAGTGCGCGAACGAAACTTAATAAGATAAATTTATTTAATTTCTCGGTAGCAAGGCATTTCAATTTATGTAAACTATTATTTATATGGTACGTAACCTTCGTACTAATCATCCGTGATCCTACGTATGATATCTATTTACACTTAACTCTATATACATACACAATGTATATAGAAAAAGAGAGAATATATACATATACATTATATGTAATATATAGAGTTAACATTATTTGCTCGGTGTTCGTGTTTTGCTTTGCTGTTGGCAGAAAATGTTCTCGGCTTAAAAAATAATTTGTCTCGTCAATGAAATAACTTGTCTGTACAAAGAGAAAGAGAATAGTATCCTACTATAAAAATTCAATATCGTTCAAATTTCACTATCTACTTCCTCACAGCGAGTAAATTTTACAGGATAACGTTAAAACTGCGGATCCGTCGAGTGTGCACGGACATTCAGCGAATGTTCGTGCAAAAGGAGGCTGCGATGCGTGGCCCCTTGATTTTAGAATATTTCAATTGCACCCACTCAGGGATTGAGGAAACCAATGTCGAAACAATCATACGTGACTGCGGTGTTGGCACAGATGTCTAACGAGTTACTTTACACCTATCCTGGCCATTGCCATATGGTCCCCGGTCGGTCGGTAATCTTACTATGTTAAACGCTACTTTCGCCTCGACCAACCAGTGTGATCGGATACACGTACTTCTTCCGTTTCGCGCTGAAAAACGGAGAACTGTGTTGCCCGTGCGTGGGCGTCGGCGAAAGGCCGCGTAGCAGAGGCAAAGAAGCGTCTCCGCTCATTCCGGTCGCGTCGAACTTCTTCTTCCATTCCGCTCCTAGGTCTGTCGCCGGTGCCATAAGGCCTTTGCATTCCGGAGAACTTCGAACGCTAAGGAACACGTCGTTGCTACTGTCGCGTTGTCCAGAAGAACCCTAAAATGTAAAAATCGACGTTTAATATCTAGCTTTGTATACAATTGTAAAACAACATTGTTAACATGCATCGAATTATGTACAACCCTTGTGTGAGCACCTAGATTGACACTTCTAAAATCGTTTGTACATCATTAGTGCCTACACAGGGGTTCATCCGCCATTTTGAAGAACGCTGAGATGAGGTTCCTGGAGCAAGCTCCGAGCATTTAGCTCCTGCAGAAAGTTATGTTTGCGTTTTCTTACTTATGCGAAGCAAGCATTGTACCTTGGCTTCATAAAAGTCCAAACTGGAACCGTTCGTATCATTCTCCTCTTCGACGTAGCCTTGTTGTGCCCTGCCCGAGACGTGTGACGCTCCAGAAGAATGAGAAGAGGTGTGGGGCGAAGAATTTTCGGATAAGTCGTCCCTGCAGCAGGCAGCTGTACAGACTCTCTGCTCTCTGCAATGTTCCACACAGCTGAAGCTCAATCTTATAATTGGAAACAGTTCAAATAGCTGCTTACTGCTAGGTCATTATAATATTGAACATAGTTTACGATTTAAGACAGTGTAAAAAGGCTAACACTCAACAGAAGGACTTATCCTGTTTTTGCACCAAGTGCTTTTGTACAGTTTACAGTATACAGGGTGTTCCACAATTATTTCAACAGCCGAAAATGAGGGGTAACTGAGGTCATTTGAAGTAACTTTTTCCATTGCGAAAATGCAATCTGCGGCTTTGTTTACGAGTTATTAACGGAAAATACTGACCAATGAGAGGTGACGGTGCGAAGTTCGAGAGCCCGCAGCACGAGGCTTTGACAGATGGTCGGGACGGATTCGAGACGCGTTTGAAGTATTGAACAAATCACGAAGCGAGAATTTTCCAGATTTTTTTTACTACGTAACAGTGATATTTTTAAGAAAAACGTTGTTCACCTTTACTTTAGAGCGTCTGAAGAATATTTACTAATTTTTCGGACCCGAAATAGTAAGTAATTTAACCGTGACGGCCATTTTAATTTTCTAGTGTGCATGACACCTTGTGTGTAACATATGAAATTTTTAAGCAAGGTGTACAGTGAAGATTAACAAAGTACGTAAATGATATTTTAATTTAAATAATTCCGTGTCCGAACACAGTTCAACGAATGATTCGCAAAGCTAATTTAATAAATAATAATCGTGTCAAAGGACGTAAGGGATATGTTTGTTAGAGAAATTTGTTGACCTTGACATAGCCTTGACGTAACCTTGACATAGCCTTGACATAGCCTTGACATCGCATTGACATCGCCTTGACATAACTGCCTTGACATAACCTGCGCGGAGACATCCTTCTGTTCGTCGGCGTCGGATACATGAAGTGGATTTTATAACTAAATGGGTGAGTATCTTATTGATAATATTCTTCATATTTCTCTAACAAACATATCCCTTACGTCCTTTAACACGATTATTATTTATTAAATTAGCTTTGCGAATCATTCGTTGAACTGTGTTCGGACACGGAATTATTTAAATTAAAATATCATTTACGTACTTTGTTAATCTTCACTGTACACCTTGCTTAAAAATTTCATATGTTACACACAAGGTGTCATGCACACTAGAAAATTAAAACGGCCGTCACGGTTAAATTACTTACTATTTCGGGTCCGAAAAATTAGTAAATATTCTTCAGACGTTCTAAAGTAAAGGTGAACAGCGTTTTTCTTAAAAATATCACTGTTACGTAGTAAAAAAAAATCCGGAAAGTTCTCGCTTCGTGATTTGTTCAATACTTCGAACGCGGCTCGAGTTCGTCCCGACCATCTGTCAAAGCCTCGGGCTGCGGGCTCTCGAACTTCGTGCCGTCACCTCTCATTGGTCAGTGTTTTCCGTTAATAACTCGTAAACAAAACCGCAGATTACATTTTCGCAAAGGAAAAAGTTACTTCAAATGACCTCAGCTACCCCTCATTTTCGGCTGTTAAAATAATTGTGGAACAGCCTGTATAACATGAGATCATGGACGCGTTATTTTTGTAAATTGATATACTTAACCCCTTAACGCACAGTTGTTTTTTTAAACCGGCCAAAAAAATCAATCTTTTTAATGTAATATTTTTTATGTTATATTTTATTCTTGAATAAATAAGTGTTATAGCTTACAATCCCATGTAAATGATAAATATCAATAAAACGATTTTTTTTCTTTGCTTTCACATTGTTATTTTCAGTTCTCGATTATATTCGAGTGTGAAAAATTATAGCAGCATAAAATACAACGCCGCTCGAATTATCTCGAGTGTGCACAGTTTGGCCTGTTTAGCGCGCTCGAATTAACTTGAGCGTACAAGTTAAGGGATTAAGCTAGTTACATTAATATATTAATAATTAATAGGTACAAAGTTTCGACACCTATCCAATTAATCTACGAATAATGCAAGCTGTCATAAACTGGGAAGGGTAGCCTAATTTGGACCTGGCCAAGATTGGACTATCTCTTAACGGATCCTATAGCTCATTGTGAATAACTTTTGTAAACAAAAATCATGCATTGCGCCCACGGTTTCTATGTTATACGTTGTAGCGGTCACTCGAAGCGTTGCCAAAATTTCTTGTTAATTGAATTGTACCTTCTGACGGTGACAGAGTCCCGTCTCCTCGGCACTGGCGGCGGAAGACCAGCGGTCAAGCTCCTGGCGCTCTCGTAGCTCGCCTCGCTATTCCCGCTGCTGGTGTTACTGCCGTTGTTCCCCTCCCTCAGGAAGTAGTTCTTCGCCGAGAGCATGGCGAAGTGAAGGTTGTTCTTCAAGTCGTCCGCCGCCGTTGACAAGTTTCCCGATATTTTCGGGGTGCGCCTCATCGGCCTCGGTGGTGGCACCGGTGATGGAGGGTTACTCGATGCTTCCGAAAGGGTTTCCGGCGTCGCCAGTGGCGCTGTTCGAGAGGCATCATCCCAGTCGCTCCGACGGTTCGACCTATGTGCGACAACAACCTTTCACATAATCGTTCCCACTCCACCACTGGAACATCAGCCGAAGAGCGACATTCAGCTTCGAAGAGAACAGTGGCAGAAGACTGTACACGTTAAACGGAATGCTCCTCTTAGGCTACCGATCTTCTCGGACGAAAAGGGTCGAAGTGGATCGCGCTCGTCCTTGAAGGACCCCGTGGCATTGGCAATAGCTGCAGCGATTTCTCGGTGGGGGACTCTCGCTGCAACGAGTCGAGGCAATTAAGCGAGACCCCGATTAACGTGGAGATTTACTAGACTTAGAAGTAGTTCGTAATTGTACATGAAAGGTTATACCTCAGCGATTGAGATGATTTCTTAATATGTTGTCATCATCACTTTTCTAACCTCGACCTAACCCAGACGTATGTTTATAACGTTCGCTCATAGTTGTCGAGTCTGAGCTGGATCTGGCTTAACCTGGATTAGGTCTGGATTAGGTCTGCCATATTTGTTTCAACACTCAATATTCAGAGTAGTTGTGTAGCCACAGTGTCCCTGAATATATCTCGGGGATTAAGCCCGAGTGGCGGTTCTACGTATAAGCAAAAGTTGTTTAGTAGGTTAACCTTTACGATACATATATAACTGTTACGCTCTGTGTCCTGATTAGTTGTCGTCCAACCGACCGGCCAACGCGACAAGAAACAAACAAAACACATCTTATGGTCGCGTCACGATCGTAGATTAGCCTTTGTTTCATTTTTGTCACGTTGATGGGTCGGTCAGATTTACGGTCGCTGTACGACATACGATTTGCTTTATGGAAGTCGGCGAGTTGTAACCTTTCACGCACAATTACTAATCGCTTTCCTCGTTGCCGGCTCTCGGTGCTCTTCGAATGGACTTCGGGTATAGATTCGGCGCGACGAGGGCCGCGTAGAAACGGCTGCAGCCCTCAGGGGCAGCGGATCCCCTTGTGAACGACGTTCCTTCAAGGACCGCCTGTTACTCGGAGACTTCGGTGCAATAATGATCGTTCGTGCGCGCGGCTGTTTAAGCGGTGAATACTGCGAGTCGTGAAACAAGCGAATGTGAACGAGAGCGTGACGCAAATCCGATGAGATTATCGTGTGATGGGAGCCCGTGACAGCGTACGAAGACCGTCTGAATTTAGCCCGGCTGGCATCCACGGTCCCGAGGACCGCCTAATCACGACGGATCCTAGCTCTCCTAGCTCTTCAGATCAAAGTTAATCCTAGGTATCCTAGTATATCTTCGGTGGTCAGCCCCCCGGGTACGGGAGCAACGCAGACGAGATGGTTCGGTCGTAAAAGTGCTATTCTTACAGTTTGCATTCCTCGGCTCTCGGCGTGTTGAGCAACTCGCTGGCCAGGCTGACGTATTCCCACGGGATCCCCCTTGAGTCGACGCTGAGCTCCCGGCCAGCCTGAGGGAACTCCGAGGGGCTCTGGAGGGACGTGAAGCTAGTCTCCAGGCAGAGTCTGTGGGGTGGCGTGCCGGCCAGATTGCTCGGATGCGATTTCACCGGGCTGGACGAGGACAGCAACGCTCTCATTTCCTGTTCGATCTCCATCTCCTGGATCTCGACGACCTCGCGCGCCTCCGACGCCTCCGTGGACGATGCGTGACCGGAAGCCAGCCTCTGCGGCTTCGCCGGACCCAGCGTCGTTACAACCTGGCATATCCATACACGCGTGTTTCCATGTAAATCGTGCCTCGCCGAATTGACCAGTCGGTCGTTAGGCCCGCGTTTAATCGATCCGGCGAATGCCGCTCGACTTTCATCGACAACTGGTGTCGCCACACCGCGTATCGCTATTTCGCGGTACTCGATTAGCGGATGATTGAATGATAGTCGCCGATTTAGGAATATAAAGTGGTATGGCGCTGATGGAACTGATTTAGCGGTTTACTTCTACATCCGATTGTGCGGTTTCCTAATATCGATTGCTCGCCGAGCACGATGTTACTGGCGGACACTGGCGTCCAATTCGGGGATCGAAACGAGCCGGACTCGGTACTACTCTTGGCCGAACTTCGACGAACGAATATGTTAAATATTTACTATAGGGGAGCTATCTTCCTGATGGGCCTTGACCTTGCTGTGCGCTGTGTTGAGGACACTTCCCTTAGGAATCTTAGAAAACGTCAATCGTCGCTCATTTGTTGTCAAAATTTTATTAAGCAACAATCTGGTGGGCTCTGCATATGATCCGAATAAATCCGATTACAATAATAATAATAATGTCACGTCATTCGACGTGCACTAATACCTATGTAATCATTGCATTCATTTCCGTCTATCATCTGGTACTTGTGGCGTGGTGGAGAATGATAAGTGTCCGGTGACTTGTGCCAAATGAAGTTGAAATTGGGGTGTATGCCAAATGAAGTCCAAAGATTTGGCGGAAAAGTTATTCCATCAGAAAGTGTTTATATTATATTTTCAAATATATAAGGATAATAATATAAGACAATAATTTGTCTATTTCATTGATGGCTGACAAGGGGAAGATCTTCACTGAGTGGTCATGATTGTACTTGTAACTTGTTGTAATTTGTTATAATTCCATAGAGTAAGTAGGAGACGATTGCAGACCAAAAAATATCATATGCATCAGTAGCATTGATTGTAATTTAACGGGATCTTGCAAAATATCTTATACAAATTTTTAGGTTTCAATTATCCTGAACACGTACACAGTAAATCGCAAAGTTCGCAGCATCCGAATGTTTCACATGAAAACATTCCCGTAACTCTTTCGATCCCTGATTGGACGACTGATTCAGAGCGTAATTGACAATGCAGCCGTTTCGACGTTGCACATTGCGCACCGTCGAATGGCTTTATTTCTTCGTAAAACGAAATAACTGTTCACTGGTCTGCGGCATGAGAGAGGAGCGGGCAGCTACGTTCCTCGAAAAATCAGCTGGCAGACGGATTAAACAAAGAGGCGTAGCGATTTACGTACAATATCCCTCCCTGTAATCGCGCTTGTAATCGCGTCGTCGTCATCCGGCATATTGTCCCCGCGGCGAACAATGGACAGACATGGCGTTGGTTTTCCCGATAGCGATAAAAAAATATTGATTCTCGTAGGAAATTCCGCCTTGGGAGCGTAGGAACGGGGGAGCCAAGGCGCCGACGGCGCTCCGTAATCGCGTTACCGGCCCCGGGACCGGGACGCGCGTCCATAGAGAGGGAACACGGCGCGCCGCGAGTGTGCACAGAAGAATTCAATTGTACCGAATCATTTCCAACCGGAATTCGGTCGACGTTTCAAGACCACTTCTCGGACACGTTGGACCATGAAGGCATGCTGTGGGTCTCCGCCAGTGGCCTTGAACGATCGATTCGTCTCGAATGAAAATTTCCGTTCGGTGGACGACAAAGAGGGGCGGCCGAGAGTAGGTTACGCGTTCGTTTTTTGGGAGGGCCGGGGACAATCGCGGGGACCGTTGTTCTTCACGTTTTCACGAGGCAATTCCGCTGAGAGCCAATCCGTATATCCCGCGGGCGGCATTCTCGACAAGAAGAACGGGCTCCGGGGTCGCGTTTCGATCCGACGATCGTGCATTCTTCATCCCCATTATTGGACAAGGCCTCCCGGCGAACGTCCGCTGAATATTTCACGCGAATCGCGGACCCGCCGAGGCAGCTCGGTTAAAAGTGCACGCCGGGTAACGACTCGTTCGTTCGCGGCACGGTTGAAGTCTCCAAAAACGGATTACGTAACACGCGGCCGGCGAGGCAACGCCGCCATAATTTACGCTACAAAGCGGACCGGACTGATACGCTCGAGTTGATCCCGCGCTGCTAAATTCTTTTTTGCAATTTTACGGGATGAAAGGACTGCGTACTGGATAACGGTAACTAGTTTTACCTTTGCTGAGAGTCGTTCGGGAGGAGTGTGCGGATTATTAACCTGTTAACTGATTTGTCGACCGTCGATGAATCCAAGACACGAGCCAACTTGCACTGTTTTAGGGAGGACTGCGGAGCTTTATGCGAGGTTGAAAGTGGCCGTAAAAGTTGTAGTCAGTTTCGACAATTTTAATAAGCTGGGAATGAGACGCCAGTGAATTAGGTTCGAACCCAGACATAACCTAGAACGAACCCAGGCATAAGACCAAGCTCGGGAAAAGTTTGTGTTGTATTTGTGGACCGTTGTGTTCACTTCAACTTGTTGAAACTGTCTCAAAACAATGGAAAACAAATGGTTGAACGACATTTAAATATGCAGCTCGACGTTCTGAACAACTTTTTGGTTAGGTGCGTAACAAAAGCGATTGTATCATGGCGACTTTATTCAATTACGTGTGAATTAAGTTTAGGTTATGTCTGCGTTAGTTCTGACACAGGACACTGTTATTGTGTCGCTGCTTGTTTCATTCATTTCGGTCTGAGACAACGAAACACATAAAATCCGCAGTCCAGCTATTATTCGAACGTCACAGTGGGTGCAAGCGATCGTCGAAGGGGAACAAAGAACTACGGGGTCTTCCTCGGTTAACACGTTAACGGCAGAAACCTAAATCGCATCCGGCAAGAATCATTGCAGAATGGCGCGTCTAAAGAGCGTAAAACGTAGAATGATGCGAGGTGCACATGCATGATCGATCGTGAATACCATTCCCAAATCCAGTGATGAGTAACCAGCGACCCCGTCGAAATTTAACAGTGCTCCGACTTCTCGTTACTCGATTAGACCGATCCGTCCCAGATACGGATGGATCACGCCGAAATAATGCTCGTCGCTGTTTCAACCGACTGGACGATCGATCTAATCGCATCACGGTGATCGTACGGAGCCGATCGTTGGCAACATCGTCACTCGGACCGATCCGATACCACTAATCTCTACGGTATGTCCATTTGCGTGGATACGTACTTCCCGCGTGATCTCGGGTTCGTTGGTGAATGGAGGTGAGCGATACGACTAAATACCGTGACCGCGAGTGCGTTAGATCGAATGCGAACGAAGGTGGCGAGAATGGGCTGCAATGGTGACGATGACAGAAATGATTTATCTCTCGGAGTTCGCCGGTCGCTGTAGACCTGTCCGTAACGTGCCTAATTGCCGCGACGTTCCGCGACGAGCTCTGCTTCAGGATTCCGATGATATTGATCTCTTGGATATTATATAGACATCGATGCTTTCATATTGCTTTTGGGAAGCCGTCTACGGGAGCCTCTGCTTCAATTATGCCAAAAGAGCATGGATAATGAGATCGTATAATTTCAATGCTCGCGAGTGTTTGATGCGACTGTTTCTTCAGGTGCGAGCTTTATTAAGGATCTTACGGAAAGAGGATTAATAACAAAAGCACCTCGGCCCGGTGTAAAATAATTTCCAAGAGAGACTCGTCTACAGCGACCTCGCACCAGTGATATTGTTCTTTCCAAGCTACTCTCTTCGCTTTGCCGTTCGGTCGAAGTTTAATTCGACCGTTCCCCCTCGTCGAGATGTCTGCTGAATTAACATCCACGGAACAGTTCCCCGGCAAGAGATTCCCGCTTTCGAGTGCATTCAAAGAAATAGGCAATCAAAGGCTGCCGAGCTTTCTTTCGAACACTTAATTTTATTCTGCACGACGACCCAGAACTGCCATTAAATCCGGAAAGTGGTGACGGGATGATTTTTCTCAGGTAATTCGAAGAAACTTTTTCCTACGCGGAAATATTCCTCGCGGCTTCGTTAACGAGATATTGAAGAGATATAGTACGGACCAATCAGAGGGCGAGCACTGCTGGCGCCACGCCCTCGCGGCCAATGACGCGTCGCACTTGCCGCCGCGGGGGCGGAGCGTTTGTTTTTCGTTAATTGCTCGTTAGCGAAGCCTCGGCCAATAGTTTCGCCGAGGGAAAAGTTACTTCAAATCACCCGTAGAATCTTTTCGGGCGTGACGCGAGAATTTTGACACCTCTGTATGCACCGAACAAAATTAGATTTTAATCATTTTTACCATGTAAAATTATCTTACGTTCTATAATACCATGCGAATACTTCATTTTATTGTGATCCATGAACAAAATTTGATTTCATCGTTTCCAATCATTGCCTCCTGTGAAAGTGTCTCACGTCCCGTAATTCTGTTCTCTAATAATTGCGAGACACCAGACGCGCGGGGTGGAACACAATTGTTCAGTCAACAAGGAACTTGAAGCAGAGAAACAGAGGACACTTATCACTCCAGCTAACATCAGTAGACCGCGGAAGATTAAGTGATACACCCAGTGTTTATTACATGTATGCAAAAATTGTATTTTGTTCAGTGTAATTCTTCTGACGAAAGTACGGAACAATTGAATTGCCTCAATCTTTGGTTTAATTATTCTCACTCATTTTTAGGTTTCAACGAATAATCCGAATAGATTGCAGAGAAAGTGCAAACAAATCTGAACTGATTTTTGTAATTTTGTTCGTCGCGGGATTAATCTCATTCACGCAGAATGCAACGAAGAGGGCAAATAACCGTAAAGTGCAAATAACCGAGAGTGCAGAATAAAATTTTTCTCGAGAGAACTGCGGACATCTGCAGCATTGTATAAGCGACTCCTGTGTTGTCAGTCTTTCCATAAATACTTGTACTGCCACTTAGAAGCAGTCGGTGAAACCTGATTATCTGAGAAACTAAGAATGCAAGAATTCTGTTTCCCAATTTTTACTAATCTTTGCTCAAATGACGACTGCACTAAGTACAATTCACACATTGGCTGCTCTGCAAATGACGAAGGAAAAGAAATGGAGCATCTTGGGCCTGCTGGATGACTCATCAGTGTCTATAACAAACGCAGTCTTATGAGACATCGTAAGGAGCAGGTCTGTGACTCATCGGGTAGCAGCGACGAAGCGCCATCTGTTGGCGAGCGTAAGAGGTAGCCGCCGCAGCGCTACGACTATTTAAAATTGGAGCGAGTCGAAAGGTGACGACACCTCGTGGCGAAACGAAGAACATCGTCAGAATAGCATTTTGGTGAACGATAGCACTGGCGCGCGCGTCAACTCTTTGCGGAAAAGACACCGAGAAGCCTGAAGACGTCTTCTGTACCTTGTGTCGTGGCGAGAAGAGTGTGTGGTGGCATTGAGGTCGGCGTCGCGGCTATGCAAGGTGGCCAGTGTACTTTGATGGTGGAGTACGACGTGTCGTTGATCGGGCCTCCGTTGGGTCCCTGGGTCCGTTGCAACCGTTGCATGCGTTGCTGCACCGGCCTCCGCGGCGCCCCGATCTCTGCACGCTGACACCTAATCCACACCACACACCCTCAGCCATACATCCTCTCGTAAGGCTCGTTGATTAGCCACGATTCGAAGGGACATCGTTCGCCAGCTCTTTGTACACTTCGTTTTACTTCATTCGAACATGTACTTCGCGGGTACGCAGGCCGGCGCGAGCATCGGTCTGATCTACAATGCCTCCGTTATTGCGTGTCGACAAGTTTTACAGCATGCAGGCGCTCTTCTAATGCAGAAGAACTAATCGGTGTTCGGATGACAGAACAGTTACTTAATTAGAACGCAGGGTCAAGTCTTCATTGATTTGTGTAATAAATAGAAAGCGTCCCAAAACTGTTACCGATTGAAAGGAGTGATTCCTCAGGTGATTTGAAGTAACTTTTTCCTTAGCGAAAATATTCTCCGTGCCTTCGTTAGCGAGTTATTGATGAAAAACACAGACCAATCAGGCAGGCAGGGGCGGTCCTGCGCGACAGCGAGCGCGACGCGGCATTCGACGCAAGAGCGCGCTCCCTCTCCGATTGGTCCGTATTTTTCGTTAATAACTCGTTAACGAAGCCACGTAGAACATTTTCGCCAAGGAAAAAGTTACTCCAAATCACCTAAGGAATCACTTCTTTCCGGGTATAATATGTATTTTGTGACACCCTGTAGACTTTGTAAATCTACAGGGTGTTGGGTCTAGTAAAAAATGATAGAACTTTGTCATAGTGATTGATCGTTCAAAATAGGCACCTTTCTATCACAAAAAAAAATTTCAATCATAATCATTGCTAGGAATACAGAATTCTTGAAATAAAGATAACCTTTTTGTTTTGTTATTGAATTTTGTGATTCTCTGTTGTAGGTCATTATAGAAAATAGAAGCGGCCTTGGCATTTCGAAAAATTCTCAGACAGAACGATGACAAAACAACGGGGACATTCCAGTTCGCCGAAGTGATCGAGCCAACCTGCACACTGTTAACCCTCCAATAGCAAACACCGGGTCATAGGACGCTCGAGAATCGATTTCGGAATTCGCGAACACGTTTCCTGTCCTCTGAAATTATTAATCATTCCCATTTTCGAAGAGAGGTAAGAAACTAGATAAGTAACGACTAACATTCCCATGCAGAAGTTTCTGTTACGATGCGGTAAAACGTAGAAGTTTACTATGGGCCAGAACTGACCCGGCGTTCGCCTTGCATGCGGTCGTCTCTGTCCGCTTTCCGTGGGTTAATGCCTAGTCTAACGGAGAGCTCGTCAAAATTGGATTGCAACGTAGGAAATAGAATCGATATTAATGTTTTCTTACCCTTAATTAGATAATTACTTAGCAATTGTATATGTTTTTTATTCGTAAAAATAGCGGAGCCTTGAGTTTTTTATTTGACCTGTTGTTCTTGATCTGGACGAAACAAAATAGTCTTAGCTTATTCAATGGAATTTGACAAAGAATGGCAATACTCGCGAAGCCATAATTATCTCTACCATCCTGTTGGATCAGATAATTTTTAAATTTACACGGTCATGCTGTATAATGCAATCGTAAAACGTTCTAGAAATGCATGATTAATTCAGGACAAAATGTTTTCTTAATCTGTAAAATATAGATTGTTATTTCATAGATTGCAATCCAATCTACAGGATGTCCTAAAAGTCCCGTTGCACTCCGAAAGGAATCTTGAGATGATTTGAAGTAACTTTTTCCTTAGCGAAAATCTTCTACGTGGTTTCGTTAACGAGTTATTAACGAAAAACGTGGATCAATCATAGACCGAGAACAGTTGTTGACGCTCCGCCTACGCGAGCAATGGCGCATCGCGGTCGCGAGCCCGCGCCTGTTGTACTCGCTCTCTGATTGGCCCGTGTTTTTCGCTAATAGCTCGTGACGGAAGAGGCGGAGAATATTTTCGCTAAGGAAGAAGTGACTTCGAATTGCTCCAGGAATTTTTCCGTGCAACAGATAGATATATAGATCTAAACTACAAAGATAGGCAATCGGGGTGAATCACAGCAGTGTCGGGCAATTAAAGAAAATTTCTAAACGGTGTCCGGACTCCTGAGGCGTGTGAATTTTTAACGCCTACCGTTCGATAGCACTCTTAATTGCCTCCGCGTGTGGTGGTTCAACTCTCCTTTCCGGAGTCCGTTGCCAGCTAAAACACTAAGTCGTTCGAAACAGATGTCTAAAGTTCCGTTACTTAATACCTACACGGGGGAGCATTCAATCGCAGCATTCCTACATAATAAGATTTTCTAAATACGCCGGGCTACCCTAATCGCAAGGGTGCAATATGTGCGATGTCTGACTCGCATGCAAAAGCGGAAGCAGAAACAGCCGTTCTCTCTCCGCTTCGTTGTCGATGCATTAGCGTGATCTAAAAAACAGCATCGAAATTAGGATGAAAACCGACGGAAAGCTGAAATCAATCAACGAATTAATGAAATCACAATACAAACATAAGCGGCAATGTAACTGCGTTTCTTGCGTGTCTATTGACTACGTATTTCGCACTCTATAGGCTCAAGAGATTCTGATTAGGCTGCGATTTTTACGATGGCAACGAATCGTGCAAAATTTTGAAGACGTTAGAATAAGCTAAAGATTTTCTGTTAGACAATTTTTTGTCAGATTGCTTGTGTGAAAAATTTCTAGTGAATATTCGCAGACGAGTGACGAGACTATAGAGAACGACTGTACAGAATGTCCCAGAATTTCTGTTATAGTCTGGCAGAGGGGAAAAGATGACTCGTGAGATGATTCGAAGAAACTTTTTCCTCAGCGAAAATGTTCTCCGTGGCTTCGTTAACGAGTTATTAGCGAAGAACGCGGACCAATCGTAACGCGGGAACGGTTGGTGCTACGCCTACGCGGTCATTGGCGCGCCGCGTTCGCTATCACGCAGGACCGCGCTAGTTGTACGCGCTCTCTGATTGGTCCGCCTTTTTCGTCAATAACTCGTAAACGAAGCAACGGAGAACATTTCTGCGAAGGAGAAGAAGTTTCTTCAAATCACCCGAGGAATCTTTCTTTCCGAGTTGCAACGGGGACATTCTGTCCAAGAATATTTTATACAGGGTGTCTTAAACGTTCTATGAGTGAAAACGCGAGTCCTGGTAGGAAGGACATAATCGGAGATTTGAAGGTGTTGTTTCATCCTTAATGGATCACGCCTGTGCAGCAATCTTTATGAACAGTGGCGCGCTAAATGGGAACCGGAAATGCGCGGGCACAGGAGACAAACCGAGATTTCATCGCTTTGACATTATGGCCTCTGGCTGGTTTCGAGTGGACCGGGAATCCCATTAGAGTTCATTAAACCGTTAATCACACCGCATTCTCTGATAATTCGGCTTGTAAGTGGGTCAACTTTATTGTTTAATTACGCGTGCGTAATCCTATAGTTCTTGCGACATTGTTTTCACTCACAGATAATCTGCCGAGTTTAAGCATTTGTGGGAAAATATTTGTAGATAGTAGAAACATTTAAAGAATTTTCAAATATTTATAATTTAAAGATTGTCGAGAACAAAAATAAATGAAGAAGCGGTATCTTACAATTGATGCAGACAAGTTTTGCGTTGCATAAATTGGCTACAATCTACTGGTACGTTCCATCGACACTCGAACACCCTGTATAACAAGAATAGGTACAACGAAAGCGGTGTCTGAACAACAAAACAAATAAAACTCGAACTACTGTAATCGATCGTTTAATGTTTATTGAACGCTTGAAGCACAGAGTTAGGAAGCGAAACCTGCGAAATAAACAACAACGTTCATCATGGTAGAAAGTATATTGATCGAAGTAGCGTACATGGAAAATTATACAGAATCGGAGTAATCACGGTGCAATCAAAACGACCACTAGTAGTTAGTTACAGGTATCGAAATGTGTACACGTATAAGTATGGGTAGAGCTATATGTTACAAATCCACGCACGAGTTACAGTTACAAGCGATGGTGGATCTATTTAATGCTCGATTACACGCGGAAACTAAACACGAGCACCGTCTGTTCATTTAACGTAGAGACAGATTGCTTCAGTCGTTTTGGATGCAGTCAATTTCGTACGAAAACGAAAGAAGAGAGAAGAGAGAGATATCCTTTTAGAGGATCGAAGGCTAAACTTTTCCTTGGGGGTTTATGTTTCTTTGACTTTCCGGTGTACATTCCAATAGATTTTGTCGAGAAAAGTCCGCAAATCGAACTCCTGAATCTAAGTATTTGATTAAAATGAGTTCTAAATTCATTTGTTGAAAGGTTTCCAACGTTTTTGACAGGTTATGTCAAGGTTGTAGCTTATTAGCGGTTCTACTCTACGCGTGTCGCCATCTAGCGGCGTCGCTCATTAAATTACGTCCGTGGACCGAGTACGCATCAATATGGCGTCAAAAACGCCATAAAAATGAATTCAGGACTTATTTTAATTAAATTCCTAGATTCGGGACTTCGATTATTGGTCTTTTCTCGACGAAATCTTTTGGAACGAACACTGGCAAGTGAAATAAATAGAAACCCCCAAGAAAAAGTTTAACCGAATCGAAAACAATATGATCGAGTAACATAAAAAAGAACAGAAAACAGCAGTACAATATCGAATTACGTGAAGGAGCTACATACACGATTAATTCTATCTGCAATACGTTGCGGTTAAAACTCATGCAGTGTCGATGAGCATGCGTGTCGATCACTCGACCTAGATCCGAGCAAATAAATAATACATAATAGAATGCGGATGCTCGGCAAGAGATACTCGGCGTGGAAACATTGTATTGCATTAGTGTTGGACGTTCTATCGTCGGTGATCCGTGTTTAAGCTGAACTAAACTAAAATCAAAGTAACGCCAACGATCATACAAACGTAACACACTATACATACTATTCAACGGTGACTACGGGCTACAACTAGCACGACTACTGTTACAATGAATAAAATCCTGTACAAAAACTGGACGCAGTGAATCGGTAGAAATCGGATCTTGAAACTTGGTCGGAAGAGGCCGAGCTCTGATAGACTGCGGACGTGAATGTGAGTTTACAGTTTTTTTCGGGGGCATTGTAAGTAACGGACAATGATTTCTTCAAATGTGTTGTCAGTGCACTGATTTCTTTTTATACATTTGTAACTGGATATTCATGGATATTATATATAATATTATATATATATTATACGAGACTTCACGAAATTATTTACAGAAATAGTAATCTCCGTTACCAATTAAAATAAGAACATTTTTGCCCTTAAAACATAAATCTAGGTTAGAAAGAATCTTCTAATCCCACAGCACATTTGTCATACGTGGATTGTGGACCTTCGCGCGAAATAAAAATTACCTAGATTAATTGTACAAAACAAAATTTAAAAAAACTTAAAAATCTTAAACTTAGAAAAACATAAAAAAACTTAAAGAGCTAAAGAATTAAAAAATATATATATATAAAATAGTATCAATAAATCACAAACACTGTTACAGTATCCCAAAATCCCAAAAAGTCTTTACTGTTCTGTGATCACACATTTTTTCCACAACCGTATAACATTCGCAGTTTAGTCCAATGCAACAATGTTAAAAAGAATCTCGTCGGAACACAATGTTGAAGACAACGATGCACACCCATTGAAAACGTGTTTAACCTCGAAACTAAATCCAAGAGGCTTGATTAAAGTGACTCAGTTCACTGACCTTGGTAACGAACTCGACGGTCACATAGGTGAACCTCTGCGGCTCCTAATTGCAAGTACCGTGGCCACCGAGTTCATTGGCCACGCTGTCGCATTGTATAGGTTATGTGAACATCCGCAGTCTATCGTCGGAGAAAAAAGCGCGGCCGAAGAAAAGGCGGCGGATCAACAATGAGCCCAGGATGCCGCGTCAACGGGCTGGAGATTGCGTATCCGTTCGCTCGTATACCTCGACATCGACGACAATGGTCTCGCCGGTCGTTTCCGGGACATTGATCGTCGCGATTTGAACTTGCGTACTATCACGCTCGGGATCGTTCGCGTGTCCGTTACCCTGCACCCGGTTTTCGGGTAGCTTCTGAGCGTCCTTGGGGACGTCCGGATCGTCGGTCGTCTCATCCAGCAGCTCGTAAATACCGGGCCTTACCGAGGACATCCGGCTAACCGGCAACTGCGACCTCTTTACCTGATCGAGTATCGTGGCGGCCTGGCTTACCTTGAGCAGGGCCTTCAGCATGTTGTCCGGCATGTGGTCCTGTATCATCACCGGGCTGATCAGCACCTCGTCGAAGTCGCACGGGCCAGCCCACAGTGCTTGGTACACCGGATCGTGTTTCTTCAACACCTGTCTGCAATCCGACAAAGGGATCAGTGGGAACATCGATTGACGCGTTGCTTCGCCACGTGGCCGTGTAATCGTCGCAGAGAGCAGTGGTTAAGCAGATACATAGACGACATCGTAGTATACGATCGTGTAACGCATTACATTTGCAACATTGTTGGTAGATTTGATGACAATGTTTACAACATTGTGAAGATATATATATATATATATATATATATATATATATCTGTGTCATGTACTGTGCTCACTACACTTGGATATGCAATTCTGTAACGCACAATGTTTGCAACATTATAGATAATTGTATATGATTTTGCTACGCACAACGTTTGCAACATTGTTACGTAATGACTGCTCGACGCACAACATTTGCAATATTGTTGGTACATGTGATTGTACAATATACAATGTTTACAATATTGTGAAGATATATGACTTAGTCGTGTACTATGCTCGCAATTCTCGGATATGCAATTACGTAACGTACAATGTTTGCAACCTTGTAGATATTGTATATGATTTACAATATGCAACGTTTGCAACATTGTTGGCACATATGACTGTGCAACCCATAATGTTTGCAACATTGTAAATACATAATTGTGCAACATTGTAAATATTCGGTAGCACAACCTACAATGTTTATAACATTGCGAATATATAAATTTTAATAAATTCTGTATAAAAAAAATTTTATATAAATTTTATAAACATACAATGTTCACAATGTTGCTGTATCCCTTTGATGTCTTTAAGATTACATTACTGTGTGTAGGTAGCTGTTTGTTATACATTTTAGGGGACATGGAAAAATTCCTAGAATATTTAGCTCGGTCAGCGATGTTTAACCCGTTCAAGAAAGAAGTGTAAATGTAGCAAGTTAGCGCAGAATTGTTTACAATACTCCAGTAAGCACTTTTGTTAGTTTGAATCCGTTTGGTGAAATGATATTAACTTCTCTAGATATTCGAATTTTAACCCTATAGGATAAAAGTGGAAGAACAGAAAACCAGCTAACCTCCTTAGAATCTGTTACAACTTATCGATAAGAACTTTTATGTGTCTTCATTCGAGCAGTATGATATTGATTCTGACCTGGATATCCAGTCTTCGACTTTTCCTTGTAAAGATCGTAGTCGAAGAGCAGAAAGCTAACAAAACTGTCGAGAGCTTGTTACGAGCGGGGCTTGAAGTTTGCTCGAAACAGTGGGAATGTAGAAACGCGGAACTGTAGAAATGTAGAAAGTTGCAAATGAGACGGTGCGTTGCAGATGGTACCGGGAGCAGCGTGATCGCTGTCAATGAAATTTAAGCGACGTGAATACAGTGAACACTGCTACCTGCGACGTTGGCTGTCTTCTAAGAGCAACTATAACCTCGCTAACGCTGGGAGCATGCAGTCGGAGGCATTCGCGGAACCGGAAGTTGGGAAACTCGATTTTCTATGCTATGCACCCGGAGATTGCCGCGACTACTCAACCGCTCAAATATGCTTGATCGTCGGCGAGCTGTGATCCGATCTTATTTAGTAACAAAATCGCCGGTTGTTCGAGCGTCGATTTAAACTCGAAACGATTATTCTGGGAAAGATCGCGAACTACAAGGATCAAACAGCTTTCAGCGGCCGATACGTATTCGAGCGATGCAAAGCGAAAAGAAACAGCGTCGATATTTCTCTAAGTCGAATTTCTAAGTTCTAGTCGATCTACAGACATCGTTCGAACACTAGAATTCGTGATTTCTCATTCGATAGGTCATTACGTGGGAATCTCTGTAAATGATTAAAGAAAGATGAACGTGCCGTTGAAATCCTGCAAACTATACATCACCTGTAAATCGAACACAGTACCCGGACATTGGGAGATAATCGGATCTACGAAACTTACTCCGTGCATCAAACATCAAATTCTACGTATCCTATCGTACAGAGTATGATCTTCTCTAGACTCGTACATGCACGTTCGATTCGTCGCCAAAGTAACCATTGACGGTGATAAGAACTAACAAAGTCCAATCGTTTTCCGTAATCGGTGTTGCAAGCTGAAATGGGAGATTGTTGAGACAATTTGGAACAACTCTTTCCTCAGCGNAGAATCTGTTACAACTTATCGATAAGAACTTTTATGTGTCTTCATTCGAGCAGTATGATATTGATTCTGACCTGGATATCCAGTCTTCGACTTTTCCTTGTAAAGATCGTAGTCGAAGAGCAGAAAGCTAACAAAACTGTCGAGAGCTTGTTACGAGCGGGGCTTGAAGTTTGCTCGAAACAGTGGGAATGTAGAAACGCGGAACTGTAGAAATGTAGAAAGTTGCAAATGAGACGGTGCGTTGCAGATGGTACCGGGAGCAGCGTGATCGCTGTCAATGAAATTTAAGCGACGTGAATACAGTGAACACTGCTACCTGCGACGTTGGCTGTCTTCTAAGAGCAACTATAACCTCGCTAACGCTGGGAGCATGCAGTCGGAGGCATTCGCGGAACCGGAAGTTGGGAAACTCGATTTTCTATGCTATGCACCCGGAGATTGCCGCGACTACTCAACCGCTCAAATATGCTTGATCGTCGGCGAGCTGTGATCCGATCTTATTTAGTAACAAAATCGCCGGTTGTTCGAGCGTCGATTTAAACTCGAAACGATTATTCTGGGAAAGATCGCGAACTACAAGGATCAAACAGCTTTCAGCGGCCGATACGTATTCGAGCGATGCAAAGCGAAAAGAAACAGCGTCGATATTTCTCTAAGTCGAATTTCTAAGTTCTAGTCGATCTACAGACATCGTTCGAACACTAGAATTCGTGATTTCTCATTCGATAGGTCATTACGTGGGAATCTCTGTAAATGATTAAAGAAAGATGAACGTGCCGTTGAAATCCTGCAAACTATACATCACCTGTAAATCGAACACAGTACCCGGACATTGGGAGATAATCGGATCTACGAAACTTACTCCGTGCATCAAACATCAAATTCTACGTATCCTATCGTACAGAGTATGATCTTCTCTAGACTCGTACATGCACGTTCGATTCGTCGCCAAAGTAACCATTGACGGTGATAAGAACTAACAAAGTCCAATCGTTTTCCGTAATCGGTGTTGCAAGCTGAAATGGGAGATTGTTGAGACAATTTGGAACAACTCTTTCCTCAGCGAAAATGTTCTACGAGGCTCCGTTAACGAGTTATCGACGAAAAACACGAACCAATCGGAGATGCTGGGGCGTTGCCGCGCGACAGCGAGCGCGCCGCGGCATTGGACGCGAGAACGGGCCGCCAGCCGTGCTCGCTCTCTGATTGGTGCCCGTTTTTCGTCAATATCTCGTTAACGGAGCCACGGAGAACATTTTCGCTAAGGAAAAAATTGTTCCAAATCGTCTCAGCAATCTTCTCTTGCAAGCTCCAACATCAATCTTCGAACACTCTGTTGAACCGATGTAAAGTGCAAAAAATGTACTGATACGCTTGTTTCTTAATCACATTAATCAATAAAGAAAGTTAATAGTTTAAAGTTAATACTTTCAATGTCTGTAACTGTAACTCTTCAATCGTGGTAGGTCGAGCGAAAGGCGACGTAATCGCCGTACAAGGGACGCAATGTTTCCTCGTCGTTGAAAATTGAGAGAAATGGAACGACGTAATAGCAATTAGGCAAGTCTCGCGGCGTGGAACGGGCGGGTTACTTTGGCGACGAACCGAAGGGAGAGACATCACTGTGGGAGCCAAGTCGTCTGCGACATGGGATAGACGGTGAGTCGGAGACGCTTTAGGGAAACAAGTGTAGAAGTACAAAGTCCAAGGTAGGCATGCGGGCAGATCCTCAAGATGCAATTACCCAGAGCAGCCCTGAAAACGCAAACTTTTCGATAAACGTACCTCCAGCGGCTCTCATACTTCTGCCTAGAAACGGAAAAGATGGTCGATTAAAATGACGCCGGGCGGAGATTCGGTTTCTGTCCCAGACCTCGGTATCATATCTCGAGACTCCGTGAGAGGAGAGGCTCTCTCCCTCTTTCTCTCTCTCTCTCTCTCTCTTTCTCTCTCTCCCTTCGGAGAGAAGCGGGCCAAATGTTATGCCAAAACTTACTCTCCCTTGTTCGGATGATGTCGGACAACGTGTATGATTCGACCAGGCGGGTACAGGGGTCTGTGCAATGTCAACGCGATACTCGAGTCGCTCGGCACCACGGTCTCCGAACGGGCCAAGTCCTTGTCCCTCTGGTACTCGCTGATGCATCCGCCAGCCTCCAAATTTGCGGCCGAGGTGGGGGTGGAACCGCAACCGCAACACATCACCGAGCACGCTATCGTTTTCCACTGTAACGAATGCCACGATTGATACGACGGTTTATCACTGGCCCTCCTTTCCTGAAGCATCGCTGCCTATACGCGATCGCACGATTGCCCCGGAATTTCATGGCTACCCGTAACGTTTCGCAAAATTCTACCGAGCCTGGAGCACGGTCTTTCAATAAACTCGGGAAAATATCGAGGTAGCTTTCCTCGGGAAAATTACGGGCTTGAGATGTGTTGTCAGGAATTCCATTTTGGACAGATTTTGTTCGTATTGTCACCACGTCTTAGTTTTTGAGATATTAGCGCGGTTTCCCAATGAAGGCGAATTTTGACAGAGAAAATATAACCTTTTACGCCAATGAGTCGACAACTTGAGCTATACCTATTATTCTTCAACTTGGACATTTACTTTTCTCAAAATACTGGATCTCTGAAAGCACAGATTTCATTGAAAAGTGTAATGCAAAGAAACTATACGTGTGCATACATTAATGAGGTTATGTATCTATTATTACGAGTCAAATACTGCGGACGTTCCGATTACATACTACGTTACTTTGGAACGTTATATTTCCGAGATATTTGTGCGATAGAGTTTCCGCCACGAATTTCTTCCAAGGCTAACGTCACGTTTTCCTTAGGGTAGCATAACCTTACATTTTTCCTTTTCTTTATATCGTTTGATATTTTTTGTTCTCTTTCCTTTGTGCTTCTCCTATTTTCTTTTAAATGTACACACACACAGCTACAATTTCTAGGATCAAGATATTCTCACTGGAGCACTTTATAAATTAGGCATATGCACTCTACGATCAAGCGTGCTCTCGCGTCATAAATTATCAATATTAAATAATGATGAGATTCATTTCTAGAAGATAGCACACTATAAAATGTTAGATTTTTAAACTTTTATAAAACACCACAATATTTGGGGCGTGCGCAGTAATACTCACACTTACCCTACTATTTTAAACAGAGCTGACTCAGACATAACCTTTTTCTTACCTAGCAGGAATCTATCGTGGCCACTTTTTCCACATCCGCAGAATGAGGTTAAAGATCTAATACAGACCTAACCTAAATCTAAAGCAGACCCAATGCAAACTTCAAAACTTTGAATTTGAGAATGTTTCCGATTAGTTCCAGGTTAGGTATGAGTTAAATATGGGTAAATATTTCTAGCGATGTGAAAGATACGGTTCAAAATTTTGAAAAGAAAATATATAGTGTAACCTTGATAACATTTGTGACCCAATTTTGCTGAAATCTTGCGTAGAGCTTGATTTTGCATAAAAGCAATTGTCTCTCGGATATTGTTTGAATTTCAGTAGCTCGAAATTTCGCGAGGGACGTGTTCTTACTGCGAAGTCGCTTCCTTATCGATGCCTTGGTTAAGTCTAAGTTAGGTCTTGGTTAGATCTGGATAACATAACTGCCTGCTTTATCAAGGTTTCGATTAAGTCTAGGTTAGGTTCGGTTTGCCTTTCGGCTCTGTAGAAATCCATCTCGCGAGCATAATATTTCCAGAAAACGAAGCCGAGTAAACATTATCTGCCGAGTTTCAACAGAATGAACCGATTTCCCTTATTTTCATAAGTTTCTTCAGTGTTCGCTCCGCGAACGACGCCGCAAGCAAACACCGGAGCGCGATCCATCTCGAAGTGCTCGATCATTTCGAAAATTCCATTGAAAAAGCGTGGGGCGGTCGCAAAGCAATTAAACTTTACATCTGTGACACGGAAGTAATTAAACTCTGCATCTTTCCAACGAAGCTAATTAACACCAGCCCGCTGTTGGATTCTCTGTGTATCAATTATCGCGCGGACATAAAAGTGCTGCCGCTGTTGCCGGTGCTGCCGTTAAAATGGTTGATTAAATTAACACACTATCCGCGAGTCATAGATCGGAAGCTTTACTCACGTCTAATAAATTTGGAAAAAAATCCGTTTTTAAAAGAACATTCAACAGTTGCAAAGCTGACGATTAAGATTTCGATAACAGGTATATAACGAGGATTGTTAGGATTTCACAGAAAAAATTCTTTCAAATATACAGGGTGAGTCACAAATTAGTACTCATGATTTTTCAGTCCCTTCCGATGGTCTGACAAAAAAATGTTTCCTATTAAAGTTAATTAGTATTTAATCGACAAGAAATTGCAATTGTTTTAATTAAAGAAACTATTGATTTTCGATGAAAAAGCAAGGTCACCGTTATATCTTTAAATGAAACCAGGTAATTTTAACTTGATAGTATTGTAGGCGATGTCGAGACGTATTCGACGACCTGCTACACGATGACCTTCGGATGACATTGAAGAAAAAATTGCCATGATTCGATTGCAATGTCATCCGAAGGTCATCGTGCAACAGGTCGTTGAATTCGTCTCGACGTCGCCTACAATGCTATGACGTTACAATTACCTAGTTTCGTTTAAAAATATAACGGTGACCTTGCTTTTTTATCGAAAGTCAGTTCGTTTTTAAATTTAAACAACTGCAATTTCTTGCCGGTTAAACAACAATTAACTATGGTACGAAACATTTTTTTGTCAGAGCATCGGAAGGGGCTGAAAAAACGTGGGGACTAATTTGTGACTCACCCTGTACAACGCAATTTAAACAAAATAAATTTGTATAAAACGCTATTAATATCTCTCCCGCGCATGGTGTGTTAACACGATCTTCCGTATTCCAACGGAAATTGATAGAGACTGCGCGAGGTACCGCGATTCCACTGATAATTTCGTTGGTAGTAAACCCGTGTTCCGTCGTGTTCCAGTTTCCCGCATCGAGGAATACCACGTACCTTGGGGTCGACGCTCCTTTTTATGGCATTGATAAGATCGGCCCTCAAGCTCTCCATTTGCCGGAGCCCTATCCTCGGCACGACGTCCTTACCAACCACCACAGATGTAATAAATTCCTGCGTGTATTGCTGCGCGGGCATGCTCAACAGACCGCCGGGAGGAGCGAACGAAAAGCAGATCAGGTCCGGATACTCCTGCTTGAGGAGTATCGCGAGGATAGCAGCCGTGCCACCTCCTAAGGAATGGCCGACCAATGCAAGACCGAATTGATCGGTCCCCCTCGTGGGATCCTGCAACAGAATTGTGTGTACTGTATATTGTATGCGGTGTGTATTGCATATTGGATATTTTATATGGTGTATTGGATGTTGTATATTTTATACAGGGTGTATTGCATATTGTATATCTTGTACAGTGATTGCGTATTGTATATTGTATACAGTATGTAATGTATTATATATGATGTATTGTTATAGTATATAACATACAACGTATATTGTATATTTTATACAGTGTGCATTGCATATTGTGTACTGTATACAGTGTACATTGTACATTTTATATTTTTATCAGTGTGCATTGTATATTTTATATTTTTATCAGTGTATATTGTATGCAGTGTGCACTGTACATGATATATTGTATATCGAGTATAATATATATACATTCTACATTATATATTTTATACAGTGTGCATTGCATATTGCATATTATATACAGTTTGTACCTGTCTCTTATACACATCTAGATGTGTATAAGAGACAGATATACAATAGACTCTGTATACATTATAAAATATACAATATAAAATATAATAATATACAATACATGCTGTTTAAAATATAAAATGTACAATGCACACTGTATACAGTACACAATATGCAATGCCTGTCTCTTATACACATCTAGATGTGTATAAGAGACAGATATACAATAGACTCTGTATACATTATAAAATATACAATATAAAATATAATAATATACAATACATGCTGTTTAAAATATAAAATGTACAATGCACACTGTATACAGTACACAATATGCAATGCCTGTCTCTTATACACATCTAGATGTGTATAAGAGACAGATATACAATAGACTCTGTATACATTATAAAATATACAATATAAAATATAATAATATACAATACATGCTGTTTAAAATATAAAATGTACAATGCACACTGTATACAGTACACAATATGCAATGCCTGTCTCTTATACACATCTAGATGTGTATAAGAGACAGATATACAATAGACTCTGTATACATTATAAAATATACAATATAAAATATAATAATATACAATACATGCTGTTTAAAATATAAAATGTACAATGCACACTGTATACAGTACACAATATGCAATGCCTGTCTCTTATACACATCTAGATGTGTATAAGAGACAGATATACAATAGACTCTGTATACATTATAAAATATACAATATAAAATATAATAATATACAATACATGCTGTTTAAAATATAAAATGTACAATGCACACTGTATACAGTACACAATATGCAATGCCTGTCTCTTATACACATCTAGATGTGTATAAGAGACAGATATACAATAGACTCTGTATACATTATAAAATATACAATATAAAATATAATAATATACAATACATGCTGTTTAAAATATAAAATGTACAATGCACACTGTATACAGTACACAATATGCAATGCCTGTCTCTTATACACATCTAGATGTGTATAAGAGACAGATTGTATATTTTATAATGTATACAGAGTCTATTGTATATGATATGTTGGGTAGAGTGTATATTGTGTACTATGTGTATTGTTCATTTTATATTTTGAATAATTATAATAATTATATATTATTCTTGTACTATACAGTATGTATTGTATTTGATACATTTTCTCTATACTGTTTATTGTATATTGTATATTATATATTATATACAGAGTCTATTATACATAGTCTACAATATTTATATTGTACAAAATATATTATGTTCAGTGTCTGTATTGTATATTATATACAGTATAGTATACTGTATAGGGTGGGTCATAGAAAAATTGAAGGTTATGTCAATATCTCCCAACTTGTTCATCTTCAATCTTTCTTATTCTCTGTTCTTACAGATCACCCCTTAAAAATTAAAATGACTGAAAGGTCAATGATTAATATTATAATCGCGGTGCAGTCGCGCTCCGAATTCCCAGAAATGCGACGATAAAGAGGTACCGGCTCCCAACGCGGCCATACAGCCGGTGGAAAGCGGCGGAAAGCTCGAAGCGTCGGGCTCAATTAACGGGCGGCGGCGAATAAGAAAAAATTTAGGGGGCCATTTAGTGTCAAGTAAACCGACAATATCCGCGACCGTTGAATGCCAGCGCGAGAGTTCCGAAGCTCGATAAAAACGTCTCGGAGTCGATAAACATTCTCTACAGTGTGCGTGCTGTATGTAGGCCATCTTACGCGGACGCACGCCGCCGGTCGTAAATATGAAACAGCTCGGGATATTCACACGATAAACTTGGCATCAAGTTTACAGGATGATTTAGGACTGGTCCCGCGGACGTAATCTCGCGGAGCCACGTTGTTCTATTTTTCGGGCGGCAGGCTCACGGGATCCGTCGCCGTTGTCATCGAAGAGTCAACGAAATGGTTCACCAAAATGGTACAAGCTTGCACTCGTTTTTTCCCCCAGTTGCATTGCATAGGTTCGAATCTATAAATTGGACTAGAAAGGTCTGCTGGGTTTTGGTAAAAATTGTGTACATTTTAGAATACCGGTCGTTAAAAATGGTACTTTTTGAATAGGTTAGCAGAAGCAACGATTGAGCACATAGCAACAAATATTGCGTTTTAACAAGATCTTTTTTATAAAGCAACAAGGTCGGACAATGCGGCAAAATTGTCAGAGAAAACATTTAAAATGGTACCTCTCTAAACCCACTAAAAAATGGTACCGGGTGAAATTAATTATTTGTCGTCTCGTCTTTTTTTTCCAGCAGCAATGCAGAGTTTAGACTTGTTAAATTGAATTTAAAAAATCATCTTGATTTCGACAAAAATTGTATGCATTTACCGGTTGCCTTCGAATCGTGTCATGTGATCTCGGAATTGCCTATGAAATGTGTCACACGTGACCCCGGAATTGCATTCGAATCGTATGTCTCGTGTATCACGTGACCTCGGAATTGCCTTCTAATCGTGTGTCACGTGACCTCGGAATTGCCTTCCAATCGTGTGTCACGTGACCTCGGAATTGCCTTCGAATCTTGTGACGTGACCTAGGAGTTGCCTTCTAATCGTGTCACATGACCTAGGAATGACCTTCTAATCATGGCAAGAAATTAGAAATAAAAGAATTCTCGGATTAGCCGGTTTCAATTCCAACCAGTGCGCATTTCTGGGAGAAATTGCAGCATCGCGAATTCTCTTTGCGGGACGACGACGACAACCGTCGACCTTTTCCGAGATAGTCGCGCCCGGATTTCCCGGAGGATCCGAAATTTCTTGGGTAACAGGCTATCGGCAGGTACACCGTGAGCAATTATTCCGTTTAAGGGGAGGAGGGGACGGGTCGGGCCGGTTGATTTGCATTTAAAGCGGCTAGAAGTGGGAACGATACCTTGGCCAGGGCGCGCGATATAATGCCCTCCTCGAGCAGCTTTTTACGGATATATTCGGCGGCCTGGACCATCCCCTTGTGACCGAGCCAGTCCTCCCTCGGCGGCGACAATGGTAATACTTCACCCTCCGCGTTCAGATCGGTTAGCACGTCCTTCATGCTGAGGGTGCCTCGTATGCTGACGACAACCTGGAAAACAAGAAAAAGGGGCCGGGGGAACACGGGATCGGTAATTAATTGTTCTCTGATAGAGGCCCTGGCGACGAAGGCGATCGTAACGAGCGCGTTATCAGCATGGATCGTCAGTTCTAACGATCCACCGAGAGATCCTCAGCGATCTCTGTAAGATCGCTGTCGGCGCTGCTGTTGTGTGCGCGTGTAACTCTCAGATATTAATTCCGGGAAAAATCGTTCCGTAGGACTTTTTCGATGAAACTTAGCTCGAATTAAAGGTGGAAGTGTACACTTTAAAATGGGGTAAGTTGGGTTAAAAAAGATTAGCGGGATCGGTATGATAAATTGATAAATCCCGATCAACGATACTGACATGAAATGCATCGATTTTATAGGGATGATTCAAGATAGATTTAAGTTGCGTTTCTGTGGGACATTTTTTAATGTTCTTGAGCCTAAATTAAAGATTAAAGTGTCCCCTTTCAGATAGGATTGCTTATATTAAAAAATAATTGCGGGATCAGTATGATAAATCGACAAATCTTGACCGACAACACCGACGTGAAGTGCATCGATTTTATAGAGATGATTCAAGATAGATTTAAGTTGCGTTTCTATGGGACCATTTTAATGTTATTTAGCCTAAATTAAAGATTAAAGTGTCTACTTTAAGATACGGTGAATAAGACCAAAAAGGAATAGCATGATCATTTTGAAAAATCACAAAATGCAGACCCCTGATTCAAAGAAAAACGCCACGATTTTAAAGGGATATTTCAAGTTGAATTTAAGTTGCGTTCCTGTCGAACTTTTTTAATGTTATTTAGTCGAAATTGAAAGCGGAAGTGTCCCCTTTGAGACACGGTAAATAAGATCAAAAAGGAATAACATGATCATTTTGAAATATCATAAAATGCAGATCCCTGCTTCAAAGAAAAACGCCACGATTTTACAGGGATACTTCAAGTTGAATTTAAGTTGCGTTCCTGTCGAACTTTTTTAATGTTATTTAGTCGAAATTGAAAGCGGAAGTGTCCCCTTTGAGACACGGTAAATAAGATCAAAAAGGAATAACATGATCATTTTGAAATATCATAAAATGCAGATCCCTGCTTCAAAGAAAAACGCCACGATTTTACAGGGATACTTCAAGTTGAATTTAAGTTGCGTTCCTGTCGAACTTTTTTAATGTTATTTAGTCTAAATTAAAGAGTGAAGTGTCTACTTTAAGATGGAGTAGCATAGATTAAAAAAGAATCGCGGGATCATTTAGGTGAATCAAAATACCTGAACCGCTGACTCGAAGAAAAATCGACCCCTAACTCGACTTTCAATAGAAACTTCAAATTGAATTTCCGTTGCGTTCCTGTACGATATTTTAAGCGCAACTCAGCTCAAATTGAAGCTGGAAGTATCCGTTTCAATATAGGGTAACTCAGATTACCAGAGAAATCCCGAGATCCCTCCGAAAAATTGAAAACGTCAGAAAGGATTGGCTGCTCCGGAAAAATATGTCGCGATAAACGAGCGGTCGATGTGTTCGTTAGAATGTGAAGATTCAGGCTGTTTCACGTTGAGATCTACATATTAATTAGCTCCCGGTGCAGTAATTGTTTCGATGCACGCATTCAATGCGGATCCAATTCGTCTCGAATAACATCATCGCCGGCGATATCGATTTCCCTTGACGCGAAAATTTCCACAGTTTTCGCCGCTTTCTCGATGCGCCATTTAAACGAAACTGCCACAATTTTCGCGAACAAATATCGTACCTTGTTTCTGTAATTCGAACGTTCACAGCGATTTTATACGTTCACGAGAATCTCGAAACGGTGATAACGCACTGCGATTATTTATTAAACGTCTCAGATTAAACGGTGCTGGCGGATGGAACCATATCGTGGCACCGCATCGAAGCATGATTAAATTTCGCCGTTTCGCCGAGTTCGGGTGACTTTTACGTGCGATATAAATGCATAGCGCCGCGGCGTCCATGCTTTGTCACACCCACATAAAAATGCCAGTGTTTTAGATCCTGGCTCTCGATGGAAGGAATAAAAGTCCGTATGACCCACATTCTTCTGTTTCGAATTTCAGGGGGTAATTTAGTGATAGCCGGCTTAAATTGTCTTTTGTAGTATCCACTTTAACGTTGTGCAGATTGGATTAAGAATAATTGCGAAATTATTTCGTAAAATCGAAAAACATCAACCGTTAACACGGAGAAAAATGGCTCGTTTTAAAGGGAGAATTCGAGACGATTTTTAGTTGGATTTTCGTTAGACCTTTTTAACGCTACCTAGCTTAAATTGTAGATGAAAATGTCTACTTTAAGGTAGGGTATACTGGATTAAAATATACTCGCGTTATCATTTCGGTAAATCGAAAAAACCCGACCCTTGACTCCAAGATAATAAACTCGATTTTAAGCTGTAAAGTCACGACGACATTAGATTATGTTCCAGTGAGACTATTTTAATGTTACTTAGCTTAAATTAAAGATGGAAGTGTCTACTTTATGATGTGTTATATAGAATTTAAAAATAATCGTGAAATCATTTTGAGAAATTAAAAAAGTCCGACTATTTACTGGAAAAAAAATTCTCGGTTCTAGGGTGAAAGTACAGGACGATTTTGAATTAGGTTCCAATGAGACTATTTTAATGTTATTCAGCTAAAAATAAAGGTGGAAGTGTCTACTTTAGGATGTGGTAAATCGGATTGAAACAGAATCGTAAAATCATTTTGAAAAATTCAAAAAACCAGATTCCTTACTTGAAGAAGAAATCTCGGTTTTAGGGTGGAAGTTTGAACCGATTTTGAATTAGGTTCCAATGACACGTTTTTAATATTACTTAGCTTAAATTATAGGCGAAAACGTCTACTTTAAGATATGTGTACAGTGGATAGAAATAGAATCGCGCGATCATCTTGAAAAATCGTATAAAACCGATTAATTAGTCGAAGACAACAACCTCGATCTTAAGGTGTAAAGTCAGGACGATTTTAAATTGTGTTTCAGTGAGACTATTTTAATGTTACTTAGCTTATATGAAAGGCAAAAGTGTCTACTTTAAGGTAGGATATACTGGATTGAAATAGAATTGCGTAATCATTTTGAAAAATCGAAAAGAGAGTCGCGAAGTTCCGCAATGCAGTGGCGAGCGACCCAACGAATTCCAAAAACGACCGGAAAGTTGGCAAAACACAGTAACAATTCTTCTGGGAGGCCTCGGTTGGCGGCCGGAACGCGCAGCAGCGCCGAGTGGACAACTCGTAATTAATTAGGGCCAGCGAGGAGCCGTCGCCGCGCGTTTTATAATTAAGCAATCGTGGGGACGGATCTCCGTACGCGGCGCGCGGGATTGCGCTAAGCATCGAATGAGAAATTCATAGAGCGACCAGCTCGACGCGAGCCGTTTAATTCTCAATTTAAACCGTCAGCTTCGATCATTGCGGAGACACATTCGCGAAGAATTATTCAATTTTGTTTCGGATTAATCGACCACGGATGCCGTTTATTTCGTGCATTTCTTTTGTAGACCTAACATAGACCTAACACAGACCTAACCTAGGCCTAACCTAGACCTAATACACGCCTCATCTAGACCTAATTCACCTGTAATCTACATTTACAATTTATATATACCAAAAAGTTTAAAAAGTTAAAACTGTAAATCTAGGAAAGTCATAAGTATAAGTTAGGTCTGCGTTATAAACTGCGATCTAAACTCAGACCGAATCTATATTTAAAACATCTGCAAACTCACAGTTTACGAGATTTCTTTTTAAAATGCCCTGGCCGTTTCATGTACAGGTTAGGTTTGCGTTAGGTCTGCGTTAAGTCTGCGTTAGGTCTATGTTAGGTTCGAGTTAGCACCCAGATTTAAACTCAGGCCGAATCTATATTTAAAACATCTGCAAACTCACAGTTTATGAGATTTCTTTTTAAAATGTATTGTATCAATCCAAGTACAGGTTAGGTTTGCGTTAGGTTTGGGTTAGGTCCGCAGTTTTTCGCGAATATCTCGGGAACCATTACCGATAGAGACTTTCTGCAAAGTGGCAAATTGTTCAAACTATCAAGCTGTACATCCTGAATCATAAATTATTATTCTATCAACAATTTTATAAACAATTACTAAAATTCCGAAAGTCGCGGAATCATCGAATATCGTCCGTCCGGAACAAAAAAATCTCGAAAAATCCGAACGAACTTATTTCTACGAAATCATGCAAAACAGTTTCGATTCGATTCGATTTATTGGTATCGCTGGTTTCGGTTCGCGCACGAGCTGTCGCGCACGTATGACCGAAGAAACAAACCTTTTTCCTGGTGTAATCGAGCGCGACGTAGAACGGCGTCTCGCCCACGTCGACGTGAAATGTCGCGTAAACGACCTCCACCTCGGCGACGTCGACCATCTTTCTGAGCGCGGCGTAATTGCACTGGCAACAATTGTCCTCCACGACGGTCGCGTCATCCTGGTGGCGGCCGCACGGGAAACAGCCGCATCGTAATCTGCGGGACAAGATTCCGGCGCCGTTATCACCCGGACAATCCCTCGCCACTGAGAAATTCATCCGCTCGCACCAATCATTTCGAGCATCTCGAACATCCACCTTCGAATCACGGGTTCAACGCACGAGACTTCTGCAAAGAACCGCCTCCGGCAACGCCGCGAATAACTCTGCCAGCCGCCCCGACGCAACACACCTTGTCCACGATTGTTTATTTGCACAGGTCTTTACGTTCGAGTAACTTTTTTAATTCGCGAGGTCTCTGTGGACGATTTGATTCGATTTTAATTTAAGCGAATTGAATTTTAATAAAAACCAGTCGAACGGAATTTTCATTATAAATTAATCTGATTGAGTTTTAATACAAATTGATTTTACTGAGTTTGAATAAAAATTAATCTAATCGAATTTTAATACAAATTAATTGAATTGAATTTGAATACAAATTATTTGAATTGAATTTGAATAAAAATTAATTGAACTGAATTTGAATAAAAATTATTTGAACTGAATTTGAATAAAAATTATTTGAATTGAATTTGAATAAAAATGAATTGAATTGAATTTGGATAGAAATTAAATGAATTGAATTTGAATAAAAATTAATTGAACTGAATTTGAATAGAAATTAAATGAATTGAATTTGAATAAAAATTAATTGAATTGAATTTGAATAAAAATTAATTAAACCGAATTTAAATAAAAATTAATTGAATTGAATACGAATAAAAATTGATGGAATTGACTTTGAATAAAAAATGAATATAGACGAATTTTAATTTAAACGAATATAATCGAATTCTAACCAGTTCACAGAATTTAATGCTGATTCGAATAGAAATGTTGACACAAAGAAGCAAATGTTTGTGTGAAAATACATTGGTAAAATCGTGATAACAATGTTGCAGAAAAATGGATACATCATGACATAAAGTAGTGTCATATGAAGCCACGTTTTCCTCGAAATCGAACACGAGAATTTATCGGGCACGCGTGCTTCTGAATTCGTCTGACTAATGCGTCTGACCATGACTAGCTGTTTCTACTTGCTGCAGCGTTGCCGCCGCAGGACAATTTTTCATCGGTTTAACCATTCACTGTGGTATTAATATTTCCACGCGATTTTCGGTGAAAGAATAACATAGCTTTTCCATCTAGAAATTATATTAAATAAAGAAATGAAAAGAAAATCATTCATTCGAATATCTTGATATATTTTAGCTGAAAATCATTGAGTCGAATATTTTGAAATATTTCAGTTGAAAATCATTGATTCGAATATTTTGAAATATTTCAGCTGATAATTACTGATTCGAATATTTTGAAATATTTCAGCTGATAATTACTGATTCGAATATTTTGAAATATTTCAGCTGATAATTATTGATTCGAACATTTTGAAATATTTTAGCTAATAATTATTGATTCAAATATTTTGAAATATTTCAGCTGATAATCACTGATTCGAATATTTGGAAATATTTCAGCTGAAAATCACCGACTCGAATATTTGGAAATATTTCAGCTGAAAATCACCGACTCGAATATTTGGAAATATTTCAGCTGAAAATCACCGACTCGAATATTTGGAAATATTTCAGCTGAAAATCACTGACTCGAATATTTTGAAATATTCCACCTGAAAATCACTGAATCGAATATTTTGAAATATTTCAACTGTAAATCACTGCTTCGAATATTTTAGAATATTTCGGCTGAAAATCACTGATTCGAATACTTTGAAATATTTTTTTGCACAATTTGCACTGTCCTTCATTTTCTATTTAATTTTGCAAAATCGTCTCTCCATTGTTATTATTCGAACTAGCATAATTTCGCGCAAGATTATTAAAAGTGCGGGAAGGAAAAATCGTAAAAACGGCGAAATCGATACTTTAGAAGCTATTTGACGGTGAGAACAACGCGGATGGGCGGGATTAAACGGCGCTTATTAAACAGCATTGTTATTAAATCTAACCCAAGGACCAGCCTTGTTGCTCGCGGAATAAACGCCGATGTGTGGCGTGCACAATAAACTGATCGATTTTAACCGACAGAAATTTGCACGTGCATGTTCGCCAACAATATGGCGCAGCAAGGAAATGAAACCGTGATTGAAAGGCTCCGTTAAATAATATTCCAAATATTAATTACTTTCGATTCGAACTTTATCATTAGCTTCAATCGAAATGTGCTGATTAATTAGGATGCTTGGTTTCCGAAAGAAGGCACGCAAGAATAGCCAAATTATTGCATGGAATTGTTACTTTTAGACTGTTCATCTCTACACGAACTAAGTAATCGTTAACAATCGGATGCAAAATTTCTTTCAGATTGAAATAGTTGTTCGTCTAAAATATTTATACAGATTATTTATGCAACATTGTTACGTTGTCTTAAAGATTCATACTGAATTTACAATGTGTATAAATGTAACGAAGAAATTGTCTTTCCTATAAAGCATTCATTTCGGATTAAAACAGCTGCCCGACTAAAAAATGTATACAAATTATTTATGCAACTTTGTTGGGCTGTACTATAAATCTGTATTTCATTTTAATCTTCATAAATGTAAAATCGTGTCCAAAAACCTTGCCTGCAGCGAAAAGCATTTTTATCAAATCAAGACAGCTGTCCGACCAAAAAATGTATACAAATGTATTATTATAAATCTGTATTTCATTTTAATCTGCATAAATGTAAAATCGTGACCAAAATACATTAATTTCAGATTGAAGTAGCTGACTTAAAAAATGTATTAAATTTATTTATGCAACTTTATCAGTCTGTCTTAAAAAAGTATACTTAATCTAAATTTGCATAATTGTAAAATCACGACTAAAAAGCTTGTCTGTACCAAAATACATTAATCTCAGAGCGAAGTAGTCGTCTAAAAAATTTACAAAAACTGTTTATGCAACTTTGTCAGACTGTCTTATAAATCTCTACTTCGCGTGAATCAGCACAAGTGATCGTCCAAAGAATTTACATGTTAATTAATTAATTAACGCCGAGCAACACAGAGACAAGCGAACACGACGAAATCATCGGGAACACTTGCGTGTGAGCACAGCTCGCCGATTACCTTGTGCACAACTGACAGAGGCCGGAGGACTGATTAACGAGGAACATGGGCCAGCCATAAGCAGCGAGGGCGAAGTGCATGTAGTGAATGGCGGACTGGAAGTGTCCCAGATCACCGTCCTCGGTCAAGGACAAGAATTTGGTGCGCGGCGTGACCGGCACGCCGGACAGAAACTCGTACGTGTCGTTCTTCCGTTGCTTCACGATCAGCTCGCGTTCGATCTTCTGGAACTTCCTGAGTAACACGAGCCCGGCGACGACGTCCGACGGCACCACGTCCAGGTCGCGGAAGAAATCGCTGAGCAGCCTCGCGATGTCCGCGAACGAGTTCTGCAAACAGGGAACAACGGTTTCGTAGCGTCTCCATCGGGCGTGAAAATGTGAACGCCGAAATGTGCCGGCGTATACTCACCCGACTCCTGTCGGAATTGCCCATGCAGCAGAACAACACTCTGCATCTGTTGTCCCAGCTGTCCTGGTACGCTCTTATCACCTTCCTGCAACGTGATTTTTGAATAATTATACAGAGTAGTCGAGAAGTGGTGTCTCAGAGTGGGTAGAGAAATTCCCGAGGTGATTCGAAGCAACTTTCTCCTTTGCGAAATTTTTCTCCGACGCTTCGTTCACGAGTTATCAGCGAAAAACGTGGTCCAATTAGAGAGAGCGCACGACTGACGCCCCGCCCCGCGGCCAGTGGCGCGCCGCGCCTGCTATCGCGCGGGAACTAGCCACTGGCCGCGAGATGGGGCGTCAGCTCTCTAATTGGACCACGTTTTTCGCCGATAACCCGTGAACGAAGCGTCGGAGAAAAATTTCGCTGAGGAAAAAGTTGCTTCGAATCACCTCGAGGATCTTTTCGTCCCGTTAGTAACAATGCATACGAAATTGGTCAGAAAAATTGATCGATCATAGATTTAACGCAGACCTACTATTATTATTACTATTTTTAAACAACAGATTTTTTAAACAACTGTGGATTTTTATGCGTTTATAGAACAACTTTTGTGTTGTCATAACGGAGAGTCTTTTAGACAGTTATCTTCTAATTTCGATTTTGTTTTCCAATTCGGTACGTCGCTGAACGAAATCGAGAAATTTTCAGGAACGAAGTTCGAAGAGTTCAGTTTAATTGGAAGACGCCAACAGATGATAATGAAAATGGACAGGGAATTCAGCGAGGTATTCTGCAATCATTCGTTACTGTCGCATTCTACGACCGCGGTATTGATATCGATTGCATCGTCTACCCGCAGATATTCTATTTGCCGGAGGCACGCGGACGAGAAATTTAATCAGAATCGCGATTTCGGTGGCCGCAGATAATTTCTCGCGGACAATATGCTGTAGATTTACTGCGCGGAGCTAAATACGACTTCTTGACAATATTCGCCTGTAAATAGAATTTCGGCGAAGCTCCACGAAAATTTCATTAGCCATACATTTGTAATAAAAATTATAACACGCAACCCGAAATAGTAAAAACGGTAGAAGGAATGATTAGAATTATTAAACATATACAGAGTAGGCTAAAAGTCACAAAGGGCTTGAAATATTTAGTAACTTCTTTAAATATCGATAATTATTTTTATTATATAATTAATAACTTCTTTTAATTACAAAATAACATAATTTTGAAATTAAGAAATAAAAAAGAATATTTAATAACTTTCTAATTGAAATTTGTTTTTATTACATATTATATTATATATTTTTATTTATTATTACATATTTATTATTACTATGTATATTATTATATATTTATTATACATATTTATTTATTTATTATTTTTTATATTATTGTATAATTATTATACATTATTTTGTTATTTATTTTATTAATTTTATTAAATATGACAAGCTTATTGCGACTTTCAACCCATCCTGCACATTGTTGTCTATTTCTTTAAATTAACGAGGACAATGTTTATTTTGCCTAAAAGTTCGCGGTCCGGAAAACAAATTCAATTGCTGGATGGCAAAATTCCCAAATTGTTGTAACAATGAAATTGTTCGAGTCCTGATGGAACAGTCATGCAGTGGTGGTTTCGCGGAGAGCGAAAATGGAAGTGGAAGTGGACGGCAATAAGTCAGACACAGCTCGAGCATAAGTGGAATATCTCCGGTTACCTTTGCCGCCAGTTTCTCTTTCTGCTGCCGCTCCGGTTGTAATGCAATTTGGCGCATCTTGATTCGGCCTCCCTCATGCTGCGCTGATACTTCTTCATTTTCACCCACGATCTACCCGCGGCGTCGTACGTGCACCATACGGTCACCATCACGAACGCCAGCACGCACCAATTCGATACCACTAAACCTGTTGTGCGTAAAGTTTATTTATTTATAAATTTATTATTCCGGATTTCAAATCTTTTGGATTTCAGCGCCGCGATTCTTTGCGTTAATTTATAGTCTGTTCAGACTGCTTTGTGACGATCTACGTTAAGTTTTTTGCTGAAGGATCTTATTCTTCGATTTTCATGATATTCGAGTATGTTGTGCAGATTGACAATCTATACAACTTTTTCCTTTGTGAAAAATTTCTATGTGCTACAGTTATCGAGATATTCGCAGGAAACTGTGGACCTAGCCATGACCTAATCAAGACCTAACCTATAATTGAAATGTACAAGGTATTTTAGAAATTATTCTAAAGTAATATTTTGCGAACGTTGTCAACAGAGATTGTTGAGGGGCTTTGTGAACGAAATCTAGCAATATTTTGTCACAAAGTACAAGTACTAAAGTACAAATATTTTATCACAAAAATTGAAGCAAAGAAGTACATGTATTTTATCACAAAAGTCAAGTACGAAAGTACACATATTCTATCACAAAAATTGAAATGGAAGAATAGATATATTTTATCACAAAGATCAAGTACGAAAGTACACATATTTTATCACAAAAATTGAAATAGAAAAGTGCATATATTTTATCACAAAGTTCAAGTACAAAAGTACATACATTTCGTCACAAAAATTCAATTAGAAAAGATCAAATATTTTATCACAAAGTTCTAGCACAAAACTACGAACATTTTATCACAAAAATTGAAATAGAAATGTACATATATCTTATCACAAAATTCAAGTATAAAACTACGAATAATTTTATCACAAAAATTGAAATGGAAAAGTACATATATTTTCAATTAATTTCAACAAAATCTATCTACGTTTGGTTCGCAGCAATATTTTAATTAAAATCTGAATTAAATTCGCGAAATTCATAATTGAAAACAGTATTACAGTGACCTAAAGTGCATTTGAATTTCTCAGAAATGTAATGATCGACTAAACGGAAATTCCATTGCACATCCGAGTACGCCAGGACCGATATTAAGAAAGTACGATTTGCAAGTGCAATTAGGTAGAGCGTGGGAAGTTTCACTGTGCATAAATTCGAGTCGTAAAGAATTCCTGTCCCGCGAGAATCGCTTCCGTTTAATGCCAAGCGAGAGGAAAAACGCCGGTTGAACGGGTTTCGAGTGCTCACGAAAAGTTTCACTTACCTAACATTACTTCTCTGACTTGGTCGACCGGACAGGTCTGGTAGTAGTGTGTTAACCACGTCACACCTGCGCACAGCCATCCCGTCTCCACCAGCAACAGAACTGAAATAAAGTTTCACGGAAATCGTACAGACCGAAATGTGCGCAATTTCAAGTTTCAAGACGATTCTGCATACGGGGTGACCCTTGAATTCGTGTCAACTACTTGTCAGAACAACTAACGACTTTTTTAAGCCAGAATTTCATTCATAATCGAAAAAGCGAAATTGTTTGCTTTACAAGATTTAGAACATATTTTATTAAATTTATCGGTGGAAATGATTGAGTCGTTCACAATTTTACGGACACCCTGTACGTAATGCTTATCGATACACAAAAATTACAAGTTTGTCGCTTTTATGTAACTTTGGAATTATGACATTTGTTACTCCGATATTTACTTATACATCCAAAAACCATAGTGTTGGTTAGACAAAATTTGGAATAAATTTTTGATTAATTTTTCTGTGGTGGAATTGAGCGGTGCATAATTTTAGAAACACCCTGTACATAATGTTTATCGAGTATCCATATGCAAAAGTTTCGAGTTGAACACTTAAGCTCTGTTCTAAACTACACTTAGCCTGTAACTCATTGCATGGTAAAAGTTTATGGGAAGCTTTCGTTAATGCTTCTTCGCAGTTTGGTTTTATAACGCAGACATTGCACCGTGGACGGAAAGTTTACCGAGGTTGTTCACGATTTCCAAAACTTCTGCTGGAGGAAATCGATTGCTTCGTTGGATCTACTTTTCATAGAACAATTTAGAAGATGCAGAAGAACGTGTCATTCGATTATTAAATTCAAGTACAGGAGAGGATACCTGTCTAACACTTAACCAAGACCGAACTTATAATTAACCATGAAATAACACACAAAATTGTGCGAAAGAACCACGACTCACGAAGTTCTTGCACAGAAGTACATTCATTTTATCATAAAATTCTACAGTACAAAAGCACAAATAAATTACCAGGAAGTTCAAGTACAAAAGTGCGTCTATTTGAACACAAAGTTCAAGTACAAAAGTAGAACTACTTGATCACAAAGTTCAAGTACAGAAATGCAATGATTTGATCACAAAGTTCAAGTACAAAAGTAGAACTAGTTGATCACAAAGTTCAATTACAAGAGTGCACCTATTTGATCACATAGTTTGATTACAAAAGTAGAAATATTTGATCATAAAGTTCAAGTACCAAAGTAGGAATATTCGATCACAAAGTTTAATTACGAAAGTACAACTATTTGATCACAAAGTTCAAGTACAGAAATGCAATGATTTGATCACAAAGTTCAAGTACAAAAGTAGAACTAGTTGATCACAAAGTGAAATGCAATGATTTGATCACAAAGTTCAAGTACAAAAGTACAACTATTTTGTCACAAAGTTCAAATACAAAAGTACAATTACGTTATCATAAAGTTCAAGTATAAAAGTACACCGATTTGATCGCAAAGTTCAAGTAGAAAACTACACCTATTTTGTTATAAAGTTCAAATAGAGAAGTGCAATTATTTGATCACAACAATCAAGTACAAATGTATACTAATTGATCACAAAGTTCAAGTACGCAATCACAAATAATTTACCACAAAGTTCAAGCACGAAAGTACATCTTACGATCACAAAGTTCAAGTACAAAAGTAGAACTAGTTGTTCGCAATATCCAAGTACAAAAGTAGAAGTATTTGATCACAAAATTCATGAACAAAATCGCAAATAATTTACCACAAAGTTCAAGTACAAAAGTACATCTCTTTGATCGTAAAGTCCAACTGCAAAAACACCCATTTTATCACAAATTTCAGGTGTAAAGAATCGCGTGGATCATCTGCAGCCACATTCCCGACTACTCGAAACAAATCAACACGCTCCAAAGGATCATTGTCCCGGAGTCTCTGTTCTTTAAAATGGTCCGAGTCACGGAAACGCGACTCGAACGTTTGATAAACCCTCCGCTCGGCTTCCTAAATTTATACCGCGGAGGAGCAGAACGCGGGCGAAAACAGTCGGCTTCGATTCGCCTTTGGTAAAAGGAAATAAATACGAATCGAAGTGGCTGGCTGCGAGTATATCGGCAGGCTCAACAGTTCTCGTACGTTTTTCGTGGTACTCGAGCGCGTTGAACCAATACACCGACGAGTGCGGGGAAAAAAGAAATCGTCGAAAGAGACTCGCATGTCTTCGTGCGAACGGATAAACATTATTACTTCTCCGACCTGCCATCATAGAAGCAGCGAGAAAGGAGAGCTTGCCAAGAATAGATTTGCCCGAGCCGAATTGAAATCACTCCAAGCCGCTTCCTTTTTGCCGTCGCGGGAATAGACCGATTCAATTTGAAGATCCTGCAGCACAGCCGGATAAAGCGAAGTTCGCGCGTTAATAACGCTTTCGGGAGAATGTCTATCGACTGGACGGCGAGAGTAAAACGTTTAGGTCTCTGTTGGGTTAGGCTAAGTGCTTCTATTTGGTCACAAAAATGATGTACTAAAGTACTACTATTTGATCACAAAGTTCAAGTACAAAACTGCAATTATTTGATCACTAAGTTCAAGTACAAAAGTACAACTATTTGATCACAAAGTTCAATTACAAGAGTGCACCTACTTGATCACATAGTTTGATTACAAAAGTAGAAATATTTGATCATAAAGTTCAAGTACCAAAGTAGGAATATTCGATCACAAAGTTTAATTACGAAAGTACAACTATTTGATCACAAAGTTCAATTACAAGAGTGCACCTACTTGATCACATAGTTTGATTACAAAAGTAGAAATATTTGATCATAAAGTTCAAGTACCAAAGTAGGAATATTCGATCACAAAGTTTAATTACGAAAGTACAACTATTTGATCACAAAGTTCAATTACAAGAGTGCACCTACTTGNGAGAGTAAAACGTTTAGGTCTCTGTTGGGTTAGGCTAAGTGCTTCTATTTGGTCACAAAAATGATGTACTAAAGTACTACTATTTGATCACAAAGTTCAAGTACAAAACTGCAATTATTTGATCACTAAGTTCAAGTACAAAAGTACAACTATTTGATCACAAAGTTCAATTACAAGAGTGCACCTACTTGATCACATAGTTTGATTACAAAAGTAGAAATATTTGATCATAAAGTTCAAGTACCAAAGTAGGAATATTCGATCACAAAGTTTAATTACGAAAGTACAACTATTTGATCACAAAGTTCAATTACAAGAGTGCACCTACTTGATCACATAGTTTGATTACAAAAGTAGAAATATTTGATCATAAAGTTCAAGTACCAAAGTAGGAATATTCGATCACAAAGTTTAATTACGAAAGTACAACTATTTGATCACAAAGTTCAAGTACAAAAGTATAACTACTTGATCATAAAATACAAATACACAAAAGTTGAACTATGTGATCATAAAGTTAAAGTACAAAAGTACAACCATTCGATGACAAAGTTGAAGTACAAAAATGGAACTATCTGATCACATAGTTCAAGTACTAAAGCACAGATAATTTAGCCCCATTGATGTACAAAATTACACCGATTCGATCACAAAGTTCAAGGAAAGTAAAGTTACGTCAGCTTAAGTCCTGGTTTTGCCTAGGGTTGTCCTGAATATCTCGAAAGCTGCCCGAGCGCAAGAGACTGGATAAACATTTAGGTCAAACGGTGTCGCGGAACTGGCAACCGGACATTTTTTGTCACGGTTGGCTGGTATTTGTTGGTCGAAAGAAAAACACGTCGACGTAAATGCCGCGCCGTCTCGCCGGACAACGATTCAACATATTGACAGTGCTTTCTTCGTCCGCGTAGCCGTTGATAGTTTCGTCACAAAGCGGTGACACGCTTGGGGGCTGCTTTTGATGTTGTCTGAGTCGCGGGAAATAGGTTTGACCTAATTACCCGCGTATGTATCAACGCGTCCACGGAACACGAAATAATCATTCCGCCACTCTAGTCTTGTCGATAGCACTCAGGCCAAAAGGCCGCAGAACTTGGAAACCTTCGCTAAGGTCACTTTTCGATCCCATTATCGTTTCTGAGTACTGAGCAATTTTTCGCTCGATTCCTCGATCTACAGATCCTAAGCTATTACTCCAATGATATCGGCGTCCTTTCAGCAGGCTTCCTTGGGTTCATCAAAGTGTTCCAGCTCCTCGAGTCGTGGTCTTTAGGTTCAGAGGGACTCGGCTTTGCTGTCATCGTGCGAGCATCCTCTAATTTGAATCCCTGGCTCCGACAGCCGAGTGTTCCTCAACTTGGCTCCTTGGGTTAACGGAGTGTCCTCTAACTGCAACCACTGCATATGAGAGTTCTTTAGCCCGAATCCTTTAAGCGTGGCTTCCAATTTGAATCTTTCCACCGGCACGATCCTCAACCAGGATCCTTGGCTTTAAGAACTGGCTGTCCTACAATTTGACTGTTTCTTAACTTAGATCCTCGTATAATCTTCTAGTCTCCGAATACGGCTGTTTATTAACTCACCTCGATGCCAAGGACTCCTCCAATTTTCATCTCTAAATCCAGGTGTACAGAAATTCAAATCCTCGCAGCAATCCTCTCCGAATCCGGCCGCTTCTCAACTCGGATCCTTCAGTTTTAGGACAACTGATCTCCTCTATTTGATCTCTGAAATCCAACCGTCAATAAATTTAGCTCCACGTAATCTTCCAGGTTCCCGAATCCGTCTATTCCCCGTCATAGATGCTTCAATCCGGTAACCGGTGTCTCTAGATGTCTCTAGATGTCCTGATTCGAGACACCTCCACCGCAAGTCGCTGTCGCGGAATCCGCTCGATACGTCCCGGAATTTTATTTCGCCGGCGACGTCGAACCGTTCGTCCACGTCCCGCACGTTCCCATTCGAACGGCGTCTCATAGTCGGCGCCTGTCGAAATCAGACGAGCCGGGTCGAACAAAGGACCGAGCTGTACCAGCCGGTACGCCGGTGGCCCGGCACTCCGCACGCATCCAACCAATCAGCTGTACGTGATCGGAATTACCGTCGAATTTTTCGCCGGCCCGCAACACAATTCTCCGACCGGGGCGGAACAGCGGGGCCCGCCGTTG